GTTGCTGTTGTGGAGCTAATGAGGAAAAGCATTCACAAACATGAATATAGAGGCAGGAAACATCTGAGAAATGTGTTTCCCCTCAAATACCAATTAAAGATTTTGACTTTTCACAAGCTTTTCTAAAAAGCTTGGTCGTAGTTTTTGAATTGGTCCTAAAACACATAAAGCCTTTTTCCTTTACCCAAAAGTAAACTTCCAAACTGAGCCAGAAAGCTAAGAAATGATCAAATCCATTCTAGATCACCATGTATCCAAGAGATAGCCATTGGCTGGACAACAACTCCCATCATCCGCAGCCATTGACTATGAACCCAGGGGCTGATGGGAGCTGTAGTCCAACAATGCCTGGATGACACCATTTTGTCTACTCATGTGTAGCCACTAAAAAGAGGGAAAGAGCAGCAAATATGAGATTGTAGAGAATGTCTCCAACACATTCCACATTGTGAAGATTCAGCTCTTCTTATTCCTACTTGTGGTTATTCCTCTTCCTTCTGTGTGAAAAGGTACAGTCTACATTGTCTAAACCAGGCATAGGCAAACTCAGCAGTCCAGATGTTTTGGGACTACAACTCCCATTATCCCTAGCTAACTGGACCAGTGGTCAGGGATGATGGGAGTTGTAGTTGGCTCCAGCCTACCCTCTCTTGGACCATGCTTTGTTCATTGCTGAGGCTACACCTTTCTTATCTTTCCTTCCCTACTCCTTACTTACTCTTGTGCTGCCCCCTCAACCATACTGAATGCCAATTCTTACTGACTTTTCTGTGCCTGATCTACATGGACTTTATTGTGCCCCCCCAACCTTGGTTTGAGAAAACTAAACCTCTGAGAAGCGATCAAACTAGCTTAGCTACAGAAGGCAACACACTTGTGGTCCCCCCCGCAAAAAGGATTACAGTCATTGGAGGTGAGAGGTTGGCGTTTTGATTTTTATTTTGATTTGCAAAACCTAGAAGGGAGGACTGGGTAATTTTTATTTTATAATACCGAATTTGTTCTATGTTTGCCAAATTGCCTTTGAATTTATTGTTACGTTCTGTAAACTGCTTTCTCCTGCAGCCTCCATAGACCCCATGTTCTGAATGTAATGATAAGTGGGTGTTTGTGGTAAGCTGCTTTGGGCACAAGTCACCGTGGAAAGGTTGCATAGAAATAAACTCAATCAATTATCTAAAAACATCTTTAAGGATCTCCTTGAAGACATGCGCAAGGTATTTCAGAGGTTGTACCAACCACAGAAAAGGCTTTGTCTCTGGAACTCGCCAACCTAACAGCTCTCACTAGTAGACCAGTAGCAGGGTCTCAAATGCTGATCTTAAGGCTTGGGCAGGCTTATCTGCACACGGTGTGCATTATCCCTCCTACCCTTTCTTTTTGTGGTGGACAGAATCGTATACGGAGTATATACGGATGCTTTGATCACATGTGATGGTTACTGCTCAGTGGAGCCCATGTATGAGTGAGCTTGAACCTTGCTCCCATGTTGCACCACATGTACAGAGTGTGAGTCCTGGGACGAAGATGTGTAACCAATGCTCGGTCAGGTAAAATGCTTGTGAAATTGGCTTATTTGCAGGGATTGAGTCTGTATAAATAAATAAATAAATAAAATCTGCCTTGCCGGCTTCAATCTGTAAGCCTGTTCCTAAGTGCCAGCCAAATAAGATTAACAGATCATAAATTGAATTAGATTGGCAGTCAGTACTTTTGAGTAATTATAAATTTCATTTGCTGTTTGCAGTCTCCCCCCCCCCCCACCTCTAATAAACATTTCTCACTTCCCTACTGGGATAGATTAATTTTTCTGGCAGTCAGCATGACTTCTCTATTCATTGCCCTCAGGACTGTTACATAAAATGCTTTTCTCCCCCCCCCCTCTTTTTTCATATAAAAAGGGATGGTAAGACTATTCAGTCTTATAACCTCTATGCATGTTGTTATGCAGTATGCATGTTGTTATACAGTACTTGCTGCCTGCCTGGAGCTTGTGGGACTGCACATTGTCTATTAGCATGTTTAAATCTGAAATGGGCATAATGTTAACAGCAGAGCCATTCTTTCAGTAAGACCAGGGTTCCAGAATGCTCTGGGCCAAGAATAGATTAGTCCACCCCATGACTTACAGTAGGGAGATGGTGAGTGGGAAGGAGGAAGAAAGGGAATTTTGGAAGGAAGAACACCAGAAGGACTGAACAGAGCCTGGGAGTGGCTAGCCATTCTCCCTCTTGCAGAAATATGGAGAACCGAATTTAAGATTGGGGAAAAAAAGAAACTGAAAGAAACCAAAATTGACAGATTTGCCCACCTTTAGTTACAAGAACTGTACAGTAACTTAAATAACATGTGCTTGAGCTTGCTCCCCCCCTCCAATTCCTCTTTACTTGTTTTCCATGCCTTCTTCAATTGTGTGCCTGAGGCAAGTGCCATATTGGAAAAGTTTTTATAAGTTGCTCTGGGAACTTTTTTGGATAAAGGACAGGATTATAAATGCCTTATATGAATAAAACTTCAATGCCTCCATATTTCCAATCTGTCGTCTTAAAAGTATGGCACCTGAAACAGGGCACAGGACTCCATATAAGGTCTGCCTAGTGTGGAATAAAGTGGAACAATAACTTCTTGTGACTTGGAAACGATGATTCTATTAATGCTGCCTTAAATTACATTAGCCTTGTTTGCAGCCCCAACTTGCTGTTAGCTCATGTACAGCGAATATGTCACTGGATCAAATCTCAGCATTCAGAAAGATGAATGTATCAGCATGTAGGCATAATGCTACTACCTTGGTGCTCTTGAACCTCTTGCCCCACTGTCCACTCCAGGGCAGGCTCAGGTTAGAATGCTAGAATTGCAGAGTTGGAAGGTACACCAAGCATCATATAGTCTGACACCCTGCGATGCAGGAATCTCAACTACTAGATCATACATGACAGATGGCTATCCAACCTCTGCTTAAAAACCTCCAAGGAAGGAGAGTTCACCACTTTCCAAGGGAGTTCATTCCACTGTGTGACACCTTTTAATGTCAAAAAGTTCTTTTCTGTGCTCACTGGTAATTTACTTGTGTTTCGTCCCCCTGCCCTTTTGAAAATGAGGACATTTGCTGCCCCTCCAGCCTGCAGGGACTTCACTTGCTCTTCAATAATTATCAAAGATTATAGACAGAGGCTCTGAGATTATATCTGCAAACTCCTTTAGAACCCTTGGGTGCAGCTCATCAGGCCCTGGAGATCTGAATTCATTTAAAGTAACTAGTTGTTCCCTTACCACCTCTTTTCCTATCCTGGGCTGCAGCTCCCTGCTTGCACCATTTATTCTGTTATCACCAGGCTGGACACTGCTTTCGTAATGAGTGAAGTCTGAGGCAAAGTAGGTGTTGAGCAGTTCTGCCTTTTCTCTGTCATCCAGTAGCATTTTGCTGTCTTCTCCATGCAGAAAACCTACTACTAGTTTGTTCTTGCCTTAAGCTCTCTTGCAAGAGCTCATTCTTTGGCCCACCTGACCTTCTCCCTGCAACTGTTGGCTACTCGTGTATATGCCTCCTTTGTGAGTTCCCCTTGATTCCATTTCTTACACATGCTCTTCTTAAATCTCAGCTCATCTGTAAGCTCCTTATGCAGCCAGACCAGTTTCCTTAAATGCTTTTCACATTACTTTAATTGGAATTGTCTGCCTTTGTGCCTTCAATATTTCTCACACCCATCCATCTTGGACCCCGCTTTCTCTTTGACTATTTCTGACCTTGGGATCTCACCCAGTAGTTGCTTCAGCTTTTTGAAACTGGCCTTCTTAAAGTTCAGAGTGCATATCTGACTATACTAAGCTTTCCCTTGCCTATGTTTCTAGATTCAGGTAGGTAGCCGTGTTGGTCTGACACAGTCGAAATATATTTAAATTTTTTTAAAATTGTCCAGTAGCACCTTAGAGACCAACTAAGTTTGTTCTTGGTGTAAGCTGAAGAAGTGTGCATGCACACAAAACCTTGCCTATGTCTCATGAAACCCAGGAGGACAGGATCACTTCCTCCCAAGCTTCCCAGTATTTCCACTTTGTCAATCAGTTCCTCCCTGTTGGTGAGGATCGCTTCTTCCACCTTCTGGCAAATGAAATTATTATGCATTATTTGCTTCAACTTTTTGCTTTTGTTATCTTTCACAGTGGAGCAGCTCCTGTTTCTTATTCTGCCTCCCTGCTAAAGGTTGCTGTAGCAAACCTAGGCTGAACATACTGACAGTGTTAGTTTTAGTCACTTTCAAAAACAGAGCATTCCTTGCATGTATCTGTGTGCTGCAGATTGCTTAGGCTTTTAGGCACAAGTCCACCTCTGGTATCCTCCATAATAACTCCAGCAAGCATGATAATTGTGACCTCTAGTGGTGCAAACTAGGAAGGATGGTGATGTGACAGAGATTTGTATTGAGACCAAGGAACTTTGGTGAATGAGGCTTACTACTTGACTTTGGCCTAATTTATTTTATCTCCAGCTAGAAAAACAAGCAAGCAAACCCTGAGAGCTGAAAGCCGTTGCTCTACTACTGCTTGACTAAGAGGCATCCTAAGAAACGTATTTGAGGGCTGTATGCAACTCTGGATGGCTCTACCTGACATCCTTGGCCCCTAGGGATGCTTTCAGATAGAAGGCTCTTTTGAATGCTAGATGTGTTTAGTATGCCTGAGACTCATAATCCATATGGAGTTTATGCTGATCTGATCATTGTTAGTCCTGCCTAGTTCTCAGCGATGTGACAAAATATGACTTGGAAAGTGTCTGCCTGTGACAAGAAATGTATTAACTGTGCAATCCTATGCGTGTTAATTCAGAAATAAGCTCCTATAAGTTCAACTGGGCTTGCTCTCAGGTATTATTATAAATAATATTTATTAAACTTTTATACCACCCTTCATCCAATGATTACAGGGTGGGTCACAACATAAAAATACAAAATGAAAACTCAAAATACATAATAAAGCAAAAGCAAAACAAACCAGTAATTCCCCTGCCATAAACAAAATTAAAAGACAATCAGCCGAAGGCCTAGTTAAAAATACATGTTTTTGCCTGGCGCCAAAAGATATGTAATGAAGGTGCCAGGTAAGCCTTCTTAGGGAGACCATTCTACCAATGGGGAGCCACTGCAGAAAAGGCCTGTTCTTTTGTTACCACACTTCAGACCTCTCACGGGGGGAGGGAGTCCTTCAGGCATTGCAGTCCTGAGCCATTTAAGGCTTTATAGGTAAAAAGCAGCACTTCAAATTGAGCCCAGAAACTAATTGGCAGCCAGTGCAATTGGCTCAGGATCAGCTGAATATGCTCAAACTATCTTGTCCCAGTGAGCAACTTGGCTGCTGAATTCTGCACCAGCTGGAGTTCCTGAACTGTTTTCAGAGGCAGATATACATATAATGCATTGCAGTAATCTAACCTAGTAAAGCCCACTGAAGAAAGCAGGACTCCTGTTCAACCAAAAATGTATTGAATTTCACTGATAATGTGAAATTTGTGCACACTTTGTCAGGCACAGGCTTATCATACCAGCTGAGAACTAGACTCACGTCTCAACACTTTAATCAATAATTGGCTAAATGTTCAATTTAGTTTCTCAACAGGAAAATTCACTTCTCCCTTGTGTATCGTTAATTTGTAAATCTATCAGCAACAAATTCTTCCTAAGGCTGCAATCCTGGGAGCAAGTCTGATGGAACTCAGTGGCACTAATTTCTGACATGCATAGAATCTGGTTGCATGTTATTACATTACTTTCAACAATGGGCTCAGCAGTGACTACTAACCTTTGGTGAACTGTGTCCTCAGTAATTGTTACGGTTGTCTGAGTGGTTAGATGGGATGCATTTTTAACCAGTTAAAATAACTGAGCAGTGCAATTATAATTTATCCCTTTTATTTGAAATTCCACAAAAATACAGAATGTAATCCATCGATACCTCAAACTAGAGATCAGTGCAAAACCACAGCTTGTTATCTAAAATAAAAAGATACCGTAAAGCTTGAGATCTGCAAATTCCATGATTAACCCTTGAAAATGAACAGGCTATACTCCCATTCCAAATGGAAAGGTACATGGGAATTAACTGTAAACTCTGCGACAGCTACCAGTGCAGTCTTAAATCTCAGTTCATTAGATACAACTCTCCACACGTGAAACTGTGGATTAAAACCAAAGGAAAGCTTAAAATAAGCAGTATTTGTCGTATAAAATGTTCCTTAAATGTAAGTTTATCTTGTCCAAAAAGATTAAAATACATTTACCATTATATACATTTTCATCCCATTCATTTTTGCTTTTCTTTGAATTATAAAATAGATATGTACAGAATAATAGACGGAGGAAAAAGGGACTAGGGCAACATACATTTATAGCACACTCCCCCTGCCAAGAATCCTAGGAACTATTTGTTAACAATGCTGGGAATCGTAACTTTGTGAGAGACAAACTACAGTTACTAGGATTCTTTGAGGGTGTGTGTTGTGCTTTAAAATGTATGGTGTGTATGCAACCTAGTTCAGTGGCAGTACACCCAATCCTATTTATTGCTTTTAGCCAAAGGGCCTGAGAAAATGTAAGATACATATATATATAATATAAGGCACTAAGTTGGTTTTATGGGTGTGAGTGGGGAAGGGGTGTGAACCCAGTCCTCCTTGGTCCAAGCCCAATACTCTCTCTGCTACACCACATTGACTGTACTATACAGATATACACAAAATTACTTACTGCACGATTGTGGCGTTTGAAAAAGCACCCATCCTGCATGGTTGGGTTCCATTCATTTCAATGGATGAAGCCAATCACTGAATACGTGAAAGGATCAGCTGCCTCCACTGAAATGAATGGGACAGCCCTTGTGGCTAGTAGAGTTGAATGACTACATCAGAACTCTTAAGCATCCTGATTCAGAGATGTCAGATGAGCACATGTGCTTCTGGTTTTAAGTTACATTTTTGTACTGTCCAGCAGCTGCAACTTGGGCTAAACCTATGCTTAGCCTACATGTTGCAAAAGGAGCACAATGTCTGCTAAGTGTAAGAAGGAAAATTAGACTGCATTCTTGTTTTCACTCCACCTCTTTTTACACTCATCTTTGCTTTTTTTTCATGTAGAAGGACATTTTGAAAAGCAACTTAAAAAGGAAGAAATACCTACCCTTCTAGAGAACATACGTATTTCCTGTTGATATTAAATAGCCCGAGCAACAAGCCATCTCAGTTGTATTGTACATTTAAAGCTGCAATTCTAACCACATCCGCCAGTGAGTAACCCCCTGTGTTCAACCTGACTTACTTTTGAGTAAATACGTTTAGGATTGCACTGTTTGACAACTTAACTTCAAAGTCAATATGACTAATTGAGTTAATACTTTGCTATTTGGGCATTGCTAAACGCACAAAGAAACAAATCCAAGAGCAACTTAATCCTGAAGCAAGGCATTTAGGATCACACAGCTGATAACCAACTAAATCAGTTGGACTGCCATGCAGGTCCTAGCAATGTATGCTAGAATACAGAGGCTCAGGATGTTAGCTACATTCTTTCTGGATATGCAGCTGGAGTAGTTCCTTGTTGCTCCAAGCCTATATTACTACAATCCAAGTTCTTTTACACTGCACTGCTATGAATCTTATACTCAGAGATCCGACTGTAATCAGTGGGGCATACTTCCTAGAAAAGTGTGTTTAGGACTGCATCCTTAATCTCTATCTCTTTTGTCTGGGCTTTGTGTGAGTTTTCTTGTACAGAAACTACTGCAAGGAAAGGAAAGCAATTCATTTAGCCCCTGAGAAAACAAACCACTAATCCCTATCACTGTTAAATGTAAATAAAAACTTATGGATGAAAGCATACCATCTATGAGCGTGTGTACTGCACAGTGCTGTATTTAACCCTTGAGGACTTGCTCAGGGTAGAACCAGGGGGAGGTGCTTCCTGTGTGCTGCCTTGGTTAAAGAAAGCATCTGCGATCAAGATTTGTCCCTGTCTATTGCTCTCAGGGTAGGTGGCTTGCTCTGATGTGCCCCACATGCCAGGGGTGGGTGTAACCACCCTCTCGGTCACTACATTCTGTCCTCCTGCTAAATTGGGGATGCTCAAGGAACCCTTTAGCTCGGAACTAGGAACAAGGACCCTCTCCCTTTCCCTTACAACAACGTAGTTTGAATCTGTAAGGTCTGGAAAGACTCCAGAAGGCATTTCTAACACATCCTGCAAGTTAGAACCTGGAGCAAGCACTCTCTCTGTCACTACCACATTCTCTTTAAACTGGGGGTCAAAGATTACTGGAGGGGGTATTGCCCCATAAGATGTTTCTGTCACGACAACATTGCTGCTACTGCTGCTAACCAGAGGGCTGGGTATACGTCTAACTTGCTGCAAGCCAGGTGTAGATTCAAAGGTAGTCTCAGTTACTGTCTCCTCGGCCACCATTTCTGAACCAAAGCCTTTTGTGGTGTCAGGTATTTGGTTGCCAGAGCCTGAAGTATAGGTGTGCTCTGCATTCTGCTGATGCAAGTATTGCACATCAGATTCACTTGCTGCAAGAGTAGGAGTTGGGTCTTTCAGGCCTTGAGAGGTGTGTAGTCCAGCTTCCATGCCAATGCGTTTGCCCATGCAGATCTCAGCCAGAGTCTTAAATTTATCTCCCAAGTCATCCAGGTAATGCTCATCAAAGTCGCCCTCAATGAAACTGCAGCAGCCAACAGAACCATGGGGAGAATCTCTTTCTTCCTCCTGAGAGTAAACGAGTAGGCAGTCTTTTGCGAGGTGCCCTTCATCCTCGTCAGCAAAAGCATCAGCTTTCTAAAAATGTGGAAAAACAAGAACTGTGAGCACTTGTGTTTTGGAAGATATAATTTTCTTTAACGAAAACAGCAGTCAGCTTGGTTGGGTGTAACAAATTCCTTCAGGCAGTGGTTTGGGGCCTTTTAGCTTAGTGAAAAGGCAACATGACAGAAGTGTATAGTGAAAAGTTTAGCCCCTTTTCTCATTCCTAGAACTCATGGACCCCTGTTGCATCTGGACATCAAAAGAGTCAAGACAGACAAAGTCTGTGCATGGCCAAACTTTGGAATCTGTTGCCACAAGAGGCAAAGATGGCTACCAACTTGGGTGGCTTTAAAAGAGGATTAGATAAATTTGTGGAAGATAAAACTATCAAACACCCTGCTGGTAAGCTTCCCATAGGTATCTGGTTGGCCACTGTAAGAACAAGATCCTAGATTAGATGGGGTCTGATCCAGCAGGCTCTTCCTATGTTCTTAACAAAGAGAAACCCACCCATTTTGCAGGTGAGAGAGCCAGGCATAAAATTCTTCATATTTTCAGGGATGGGCATTTACAGGAGAAAAGTGACAGCTGAATAGCTGCATCTTATCTTCCCCACCCCCACTCTCCTTTTTAAAATTGTAGTTTGCCCACATAGTGGTAGCTCTCATTACTTTTGAAAAGGAAAGGGTAATGGGAGAAAGACAGCAATGACGCTGCTTGCCAGCTCCATGCCCCATAGAAAAATATGCAATTTCCCCCTCCTTAGAAATTGATGACAATGCCATCCCACTTCTGGGTAATAGAAGTGGTGGCATTTTTGGCTTAACTCTGTCAGAGACAGCAGGAGCAGTGATGTAGGGCAGAATTTCTTTCCCCCATTGCTTTATTTTTCTATAGAAATTTCCCCCTTTTCATATGTTCCTTAGTAACAATGAATGACTGCCCATGGCAAATTAAAGGTAAGCATGGCAGTCTTCAAAGTGTTTAGATTTGTTTAATGAACACAAGTAAAATAAATGTGCTATATTAGATCACTTTTGAGGACATTGGGAAAAATCCTGATGCAAACTGAGAATGTTAGGGAAATGGTGATAATTTGCATAGGGAAATATTCACATTTTCCAGGAAACCCACAACACTGCATGTGAGAGATGCCCAAACCAATCCTAATAAACTAAGGAGTGGAAAATACAAAGGTCCCAGAATTAAACAAAACAGGGGAAGGGGAAGTCAACCAAGAGAGGAAGCATCTCACAAAAGTGGAAATCTTACTTCAGTGAAGTAGCTCCTTAAGAATTCTTCATTCACGGCTCCAGCATGTTCCATGTATCTGCTATCCATTGTCAGGATTTTCTGTGCTGCCATGTCTCCCCCTCCTACTCCTCTTGCTCCTGCTATGGTTGAGCCCCCTCCAAAATCCATGCCTTCATGATGTGCATGAGACGTACGGGCCTCCTCCCAGCGCCTTTCGATGGTTGTGGTGTTACGCAGTCCAAATGCAGAAGAACCAGAAACCACAGCGCCTCCTGCCACGCCTAAGCTTGACGATGCATTTCCATTTCCCATCCCTGAGGCCGAGTTGTTCACAGAAGTCATGTGGCTTAGGCTGACAGCAGCCTAACGTCAAAGAGAAAAATAAAACTGTAAAACTACATTCATTTAAGGAGGCAGGCTGAAGTCACAATCAAACAACATGCAGCAGGCTGGGCTGGGCGAAGCCAGCTAGGAGACAAATGTGATTCAGGAACAGATAGTTTATTTGCTTCCTGCTTGGAGAAAAGGAAGAGCAGATTTGTAATACGTGAGAGGAACAGATCCCGAAAGGTTTGGCTACTTGCATGGGTGTCTGCAGGAATGTTACCAGGGTGGGGGAAGTAAAGTATGGAGTGGCCCAGTGCACACTGTCTCAGATTTCAGGTTCTACAGATGCTAGAGATCTATGATTTAAAAATGAAATCTGAGAATCGGGGGATTATGGTTCATCCAGCAGGGGACAATGTCCCCCTTGCTAGAGCACCACCCCATATACAGTTACTTGTGTCCCCCCCCAAAAAAAGCTCCTTTCAGAACAACCGAGTTTGTAGTTAGGCGGTTTTCCAGGTCAATGGGAATATCTGCTGGATAGCAGAACTTCTTAGCAAACTTCCTTCCCAAATGTACAGCTGCGTCAGAAAAAGTAGCCTGAGAACAGCTGCCTCAGCCAGATCCTGCCTATTTACAAGCCCAGAAACTGCACACTCATCCCACCTATGTTTGTACAACTGTTTTCACACACACACTTTTTAATTATGTAAATGAATTACCCCATACCTATTTAAACTGATAAGAGAGTAAGCGCCATATTGTTCTAAGTAACTCAGCCCATTGCTGTCTAAAGCAGACTCTTCTGCTGCAGCCCTACATGCCTGTCCTTGGAAGGACATCCTATTTAACTCAGCAGGATTTACGTCTTAGCAGACATGCATTAAGCAGGATATCAACATTCCTTGATGCCAAATACAAAATCAGGGCAAAACACAAGATACCTTGTCTTCAGGGGCTGCCCCTTCATTGTTCCATATTCGCAACATTTCTTCGCTGTTATCGGGTATTGCCACAAAGCCTTTTGAGGCACCTGATCCACCAAAGCCACACGCCAGCAGTAAGAGAGGCACCACTGCAAAGGAACACGGCAGATCAACAAACCACCAAAGGTTGAACTTGCAGAAGCAAATCCTAAATATCCGTTCATAGCCCATTAAATATAACAACAAAATACTCCAAAATCCACTTGAAATATTACAATGTTCTCTAAAATAGAGCCATGTAATGCAAACATTGCACCACAAACAAGAGGTTGTGTACCAGTTCTGTACTAATCTATACTTTCTGATGGCTTAGCACATTTTAAAATTCCAGTGAGGTGAGAGCACTGCAGAACCAAACATGAACAGCAGCAAGCAACTTCCATTTGCTTCAGCTTGCAGGCCTCACACATTCAGAGTTGTGCATGTTCCACAACATTACCATGAAAACACAGGATTAAGGTACAAATTTTGGCAACTTCAGGTTGTTTTCCTAGCTCTCAGACAAGAAGAGAGGCTTGCACCTATGTGGGAAAGCAAGCAGCCTGCAAGACTCCAGCAGAGGGGCTGAGCACCCTTTCCAGTGACTGGCGGGGTAGGTGCTATAGTCCCTTGCATTTTTAGCAAAAACACAATTTTGCTAGATAAGCAAACATGGGTAAATCAATCCCCACAGCGGCAGTGGTTGCCAGTTTATTTCCAGGCCAAATTCACGGTGCTCACCCCTGGGGTTTAAAACCCTGAATGACTTGCACTCCAAATATCTAAAAAACCACCTCCATCCCTATATCTTGGGTGTTAAGTTCAGCAGAGGGGGTTCTCTTAGTAGTTCCACCATCTTCAGAAGTATGGCAAATGTTGACTTGGGAAAGGACTTCCTCTGTGGCAGCCCTTAAATGGTGGATCTCCCTTCACACAGAGGTGTTCCTACCATCTTCATTGTGTAACTTTTGCAGTATGCTGAAGATACACCTCTCTCCCCAGGCCTTTGACAATTAAAATATTTATGTGGGACCCACCTCTTCAACCTTTACTGTACTGCTCTGTGGAATTGTAACAGCTGCTTTAATAATTGTACAAAATGTTTTACTTGTTTTTAATAGTACAATTATAATGTAACCTGAGCAGGGGCCTTATAAGTGAGGGGTGGGTAAGAAATCTAATAAATAAAATACTCTGCAGAATTCATTGCTTCTTGGAACATTATTTTGATTATTATTTTAAATGAACAGTGCTCTTAGTCCAGACTTTAACTAGCTACTTCTAGTTTGGAAGCCCTCGTGGCTTGTTTTTGGGTCAAGCTGCCAAACAACATTTCACCTCATATGAAAGTTGAATTTTTGATAAAAGATAGGAAGAACAAGGATCAAAAGCTTTAAAAGAAGTGGGAAAGGTGTATCAGAGACAAATAAAATTTTAACAAAGTTCCTTAAATGTATTGCTCTACTCTTTACCACACCATATGTAAAAGGTCAGAACATTGAGTCTAATGGGAGAAAACCAGAAGGGGCTTAACTTTGGTTGGTTCATGCCCATAAAGCTTGCATGAAGATTGCAAGGCCCCGCAAGGAGGAGTCATTGTGTCAGAGTGCACAATGGCATTCTGCCAATTCTTCTGGAATAATGCTAGTTACTTACACAGCAGCAGCAACAACGCCAGAATGATCAGAGCAATTGCTGCAGGTCCTAGAAAAACCGATGAGCCGACAATTGCTGCTCGGCAACCACCACCTTCTGCACATTCACAAACATCCAGTCTTAGAGTTTGATACTCGGGACAGCTAAGACCTTGGTTATCTTTCACCAGGAGTGGAACTTCATATGATCCAGGCTTCAGATTCTCTGGTATAAGCTGTACTCTAGATCCTTCACAGGGAAAAAGACAGTAACAATAAATAAGAAGCAATGTAATGTAAGTAGCTGAACATATGACAGAACTGTGAGCAGATACTGACTTTAGGGTTACCGACTTGATGTTCTGAAGTAAATAGTTATATTATGGAGATAAACACATCAGTTTCTAGATTACCTAATTGTTGTAAACCCCCTTTGGCAATTGTAGTTTTGGCACCAGGGATGGGAACCTGCGGCCCCTGAGATGGTGGTCTACAACTTCCACCAATGGGAGCTATAGGTCCTCTTATAGGACCACAGGTAGACCCCCCAGGTCTACACAGAGACATCAGCACAATGTTTAAAGAGCTAAAATTATCAATGGATGCTAAATAGTCTTTAAATGAGCATCCCTGGTGTTACAGCAATTCTGCAAGTACCCAGTCTGTCAACCAGACAGAATGTGAAGAACAGTTTTCCTAGATGTGTGTTAATTCCTTGCAGCTATGGCTTTGGGGTACCTTCCCAGCCTGTCTCAAGGAGAAGAAGCAGAAAGACCACAGAGAATTTCTCTTTCTCTACAACCAGTGCCCAAATGAGGAGAGGGGTGGTATCTTACATCTTTTTCAGGTATAGCTGAAACTTTTCCGCTCAACTTTCAGATAGCAGTAAGTGCAGAGCATTTCTGGCTTATTTCAGTGGGAGAGAAATCTTGGGAGAGATGCTCTCCTAGCATGAGAACTGACCACAAGGATCTAAGGATCTTCAGACAAATAATCTCGGCCACTCAGCTTCAGATGTTTTATTCTCTGCCTCTGGTGAAGCTAAGCCCCTACTTCTGAAGCTACACTTCAAAGCAATGCTACTTTGGCCAGCGCATGTTATCCAAGAGAGGATTAGCCAAGTCACAACTAAAATAACAGGCTTGTACCCAATGGTTGTGAGTTTTAAGCTTGGTTTTAATATTGGTTTTAATGCTGCAACCTGTCTTGGGATCTAAGGGCCAAGTAATAAATAATCATCATCAACAACAGCTGTCCTTCCGGTTCATGGCTCTCCACTTACACAATGGGACTGCCCCCTCTTCCTCCTAAATCTGTTTTGGAAATGCACGGGGGCACACAGGAGGCAAAGATGGGTAGGGTAACAATGCAAATCTTACCTAGTACAGTCAACGAGTTCCCACACACCCTCACCCCTACTGTAAACCATGTCATAGTGACTCATACTTACCATCCACTCTGATTATCCTCCACTTGTCTGACACTCTTTCAGGCTCATCAACAATAGTGAAAGTGAAAGGGCCACGGTTTAGATAACCTCCTCGATTAGTAACAGAGACGTTAACAAACTTTGCATGAGTACAGACAGTTTGACGTGGAGTCACAATGGTCGGGCAGTAGAGAGTAGTATTCTGTACCTGAATAACAATGGTACCTGTAGCCGTTTTTGGAGGCTGGTCTGCAAAATATGTAAGGTAAAGCATTTCTATTTCACTGCTTAAGAATGCAAAAACATAGTTTTATCAATGTAGACTTTCATTTGCTTCTTTGAGTGTATAAAAGGTTTTAATGTGAATTCAGTGTTCGATTTGCAATCCATTTCAACAACACAATAATTGAATATAGGATGCAATTCAAACCCATGGAAATGTTTACTTGGCAATTATTTGAGTTGCTGGAGATTACTACCATACTGTTACTCCAATTCTTTGGGCTCTGTGGACCGTCAGACACTTTATTCAAGACTAGCAGCCTTGTATCCAGCGTTTCTAGGAAATTCTACAAAAGCAAAAATATCAGTGCAATGTTGAAAGGTCCATTCTGCCATCTTAATCCCAAATGGCATCCAACTGTATCCAAACATAGACGGAAACCTGCTCCTTTATCTTGGGGACCATCCTGCAAAATTGCTTACAATATCTTAAAGAGTTGTTCATGTGCTAGTGAATAAATAACTTTCTAAAATACGTATTAGATTACAGGGACTCTAATGTGAAAAGCAGATACATGTGTGTGAAGTTTGCCTCCTGGCCTTGGATTAGCAGCACATAGCGATGGAACATTGACATTTTTGTGGAATCATGTTCACATCATCATGCTAAAGCATGTAATCCATCAGGCTTTATTAAAAGCCTCTACCACTACAACATTTGCCTAAATGCCAATGATGCTCCAGGTACTTACTGAGGGAAAAACAGGCTCAGTCCCTACCATCTACTCAACAGAGGTAAATGACCCTGGCGCTCTGCCCAGTCGTGAAAAGCAACACCAGTCTCTCCTGAGCATGGAGAAAGAATCCTGATTTTTGCCTTCTCCATATCCCACCTCAAATGAGGGAAGAGCCTGTATGTCTCCCAAGCCACTGTGAATGCCAGAGGATTTGAGGGAGGCAAGACAATTGATGGCAACCATGATTCATGTCTGGCTAGTAAGTGTAAGCCAAGATTTTTGGAGCTGCTGGTCCCTGTGCAGAAACTTGGGAAGTTGCTTTATACAGAGACAGACCAGTGGTCCATCTAGCTCAGCCTTGTCTATGATGACTGGCAGTGGCTCTCCATGGTTTCAGGTAAGGTCCTCTCTTCGCCCTACCTGGAGACACCATGGAATGAAGCTGAGATCTTCTGCACGCAAAGCAGATGCTGCACCACTGAGCCACCACCCTTCGCCAAAGCTTACGGGTCAGATGGTTGCTGCCACTTTCCAAATCTAGCTTTGGGTTTTAACAAATTAAGATGTGGAGTATGAATGAAAAGGCTGGTGAATTATTCTTAAGGAAGAAATGGAAGAAGCATCACTTACCCTTACTTATAGCCAAAATTGTTGCAGTGTAAGTACCGTTGACAAGAAAAGATGAGTCATAGTCAATCTCTCGGTTAAGTTTGATTTCAGCAGTCCTAGAGTCTACTGTAAACCAGTTCGCAACGTCCTGGCCTTTAACATACCTGTGCAGATTTTTAATGCATGTTAGAATGGTCACAACAATCGGTGTATAAAGAAAACACTTTGCTCAAAGACACACAGGGAACCAGGCAGAGGGCCTTCTCGGTGGTGGCGCCCACCCTGTGGAACGCCCTCCCATCATATGTCAAGGAAATAAACAACTATTTGATGTTTAGAAGACATCTGAAGGCAGCTGTGTTTAGGGAAGTTTTTAAAGATTGATGTTTTATTGTATTTTTAATATTTTGTTGGAAGCTGCCCAGAGTGGCTGGGGAAACCCAGCCAGAAGGGTGGGGTATATTATCATTATTATTATTACTACACAGGCTTGGTGGATGGTGAAGCATCTTCATTTAGTTTCCTCCCAACAACTCAGAGCCATTTCCCACATTAAAAAAATCATAGAAACATACGTTTTATGATGCATGTCAGTGTAGCACAAGAAGATAACACAGACATACATTTCTGATGGAAGTCATGCATTTATAGGAGATGCCTGGAAACTTCATGTCATTCTAAGTCTGCACAGGAAGAATGTGAATTCATGTCATTTCTTTTGCTTCACCCATCAGGTCCCCATCATGCCAGAAGACAGAAATGGGGAAGAAGGGCCACATCCTCTTCTGGGCAACCTTCTGGCGGCCACTTTTGCCTCTGTCCCCCTGCCCATTACAGGGATGTAACCAGGGGCAAAAGTCGGCAACACAATGAATGAAAAATTCACCTTTATACAGCAGACTAGTTTCTGTACCCATTCATACCCGTCTCCATCCAGGTAGACAACAGGCATTATCAGAGTTCAAGGTCACCTTCCATCCAAGTGAAAACACTTCCAGAAAGGTATGGATTGGGGTTGGTGAGGGATGTGGTCTGGGGAGAGTACAAAGGACCAGGCAGAGAGCCTGGAGGACTGCATTTGGCTCCTGGACTGGAGATTTTCTACTGCTTTCGTAAGATGACAGGGGCGGGTGCAACAGAAATAGAGCCATGCTATGCATAAAATCATTGCATCTTGCGGGTGCTGCTATTTATTTCTTAAGTGTGTGACTGCGGCCTTCAGATATTGCAAGCAAAAGGCAGTGGCACAAATGAAGCATAGACTGAGGCCCATCTTCACTCAAGCTGAATGCTGCAGCAACAGCTTGATTTAAGCAACTCTTCAGTGATTTGCCTTGGTAAAAAAGAAGAAAGGCATCTCTTACCTAATGTTTTGTGCTATCTTTCCGGTATCTTCATCATAAGCTTCAAAGCGCCCAATAACCTGGTTCACTTTCATTGTTCTATTTGCTTGAATTGTAACTCTGTTGGGCTTAAATACAGGGCCTTCTATCACATTTTCCACCTTAATTTTAACTGGAATTGGTTTTGCTTGGAAGCCCTTAGCAATAATTGATTTGTGATACGCTGCTTTGTTAGAAACAACAATATTCAAGTCAATGTTCTGCAGTTCTTCATAATTAATTTCCTGTAGGGAGAATGGAAAAAAACCCCAGCAACAAGTCAGAAAAGGTGCACTCTGAATTCCAAGCTGGAGAATAAGCATTAAGATTTCACTTTCATTATCACCAGGGGAAGCCCTGCTGGAGTGTCACCACCTCCTGAAGTCCAAGGGGCAGCAGCATATGGGAGGGCTTTTCCTGGCTAAGAACTCCCTTCCCTTGGACTTGCATATGGCACTGTCCTCTTTTCATCAGTTAATCAAGATGCACCTCTTTGCCCAGGCAGATGAATTATTTAGAACAGGCTATGATTTCTACTGATGACTTAGTTATGGTTTTAAGTGATGTTTCAAGGAATGCACATATCCTGCTCTGGGACCCTAAAGAACACAACAAATTCAGTCAATCAATCAATCAATCAATCAATCAATGCTCCATGTGTGTGTTTATACCTGCTCTGGTTTTGGGCCAGTTCCTGGACAAGTGAATGATATATGCCAAAGTCCCTAGATATTTAGAACATAATAAAATATATTTGCATTTTTCTTTGGTATTCACAGTGGCATCATGGAAGTCCCACACACACCCTCTTTTCTTCACAAAACATTAAGCTCTGGGCATTAAATAGTGACCAGAGGAGGCTGCATTTTCCATTTGTAAGATTTTGTCCTCTTGGTGGAATGCAAACAAAGACAATATATCTATGGTTGCCACAGCAGGCTTTATCACAGGGTTGTGAAACATTAGCTCCCTTGACTAGAAGGCAGTATTAAGCCTCTGGATTGGCCTCACTGAGTATATGTAGCCAAATGGTATTACAGCCAGTTTGGAAGTATATCCTGACTACTTTAGGTGCAGAAAGCTTATCCACATCAGCTAGCACCCTCCCTTTCAACATTTTTTCATGCAGTTAATTTTGCATGTCTGCATTGGGACCAATGATTCAAAACACAACCTCCGCAAACTAAACACTAACCTTAACCAGAATCAAAACTCCTTCATTGGTATGTGAATCTGTTTCTATACGGAAATAACCTCCTTCATTGCCAGACACAATGGTGAAGTTTGCCAGCCAGTTATCAGTGTACTGCTCATCGTCATCAAAGGCCCTCAGTCGCATAATCTCCACATTAGCTGTATTTTCCTGGACGCTTCCATCATACTGTAAGCATACAAGATTTTAAATGTCTCTTCCATGTTATCAAGGCAGGAAAGGCTATTTAGCACAAATGCATGCAAGCCTTCCAGTCAGATCACTTCACTTACCATGCTTTTTTCAAGATAAGGGATATTGTCATTGACATCCAAAACCTTGATCTGTACCGTTGTCCGTTCACCAAGCCCTATTGCATCTCCATCTCGGTCTCTTGCTTCTACAATTAAGGAGTAGCTACTTTGCACCTGCATGATATTCAAGCAGCTATGTGTAAGTGAATGCAACAGCATACCAAAATAAATCAGTATCTACCATCAGTTGCCAAATACCATCGTTTGGAGCCAAAAGAGATCACTGCCCAAGACCTGGGAGCCTCCAAGAGCCAGGTAGTGGAGGTTTATGTATAAAAATATATACCACCATTTATATATAACAATATCAACAATAATTGTTACTGCTCTTTTAGATACATTTTGCTGAATTTAATTTTTTTGACTATTTATTATTAGTAGACATGCCTGATGAACAGCATTTCTGTGTGCTCTGGCACTCATCACAGTGTCCCGTTGCGCCAGAAACGGTTTAGTCGTGCTGGCCACATGACCCGGAAAGCTGTCTGCCTCGGCCTGAAGTGAGATGAGCGCAGCACCCCATAGTTGTCTTTGACTGGACTTAACCATCCATGGGTCATTTACCTTTATCTTGCCTACATGCTTGATACCCTCCCCCCATTGCTTTTGTATGCTGCCTTGAGCATTTTTAGAGTAGATGGGCAGTTTATACTATTTCCTAATATCAGAATCAAGCAAGCAAATCAGTTGATCAGGATTATGGTCTTAAAGTTTATGTTCTTCTGAGGTAATTGATAAAGCGACATCAGTAGCATTTTTACCACATAAATGAAAAACTGGATAACACAGAAGAGGAATCCAGGACAGGAAAAAGCATTTACCTCCCTGTCGAGTTGAAAATGTGAAGTCCGGACCTCGCCTGTTGATCTGATAACTTCAAATGCAGGCGGATTGCTAGGTTCTTGAGAAATAATCTTGAAAGCAAGTTTGGAGTTGAGGTTGCCTGGCTCATCTGCATCGGTTGCTTCTATCTTTATCACAAGAACACCTAACAATTCAAATTAAACTTAATTATAAAGTCCTATTGGACAAATTATATTGAAATGAAGGTTTCCAAATGCCCCAAATACTGTACTGAATTTTATATGGTGCACTCAAAGATTTAGCTCAGGTACAGATACTTGGTCGAATAACATACACTGGACCAGGGATAGCTCTCCAGGTGTTGTTGGACTCCAATTCCCAACAGCCCCAGCAAGCATGGCTAATGGTCAAGGCTGATGGGAAGTACAGTCTAGTAGAATTGGGAGGACTACAAATTTTCTGTTCCTGCACTAGACCAAGACATCTAAGTCCTAAGGATTTGTATAATTTAAGATTTTATAGATGAAATTCCCTTGGAATAAATTATAAAGAATGCACTAAAATTGTATTTAAAAATAAACACTATGTTAATACCAAGACTGAATAAAATAATATTTATCCCATGGTTTGACTAGTGCTCATGGCAGTGCCAATTCCCCCCCCCCCCCGCAACATTGTTCTCAGCTCCTTGTCCCATAGCTTCCTTCTGATAAAGATGTTAGAAATAGATGCAAATCAATATCCTGTCCGAAAGAGCTGAGCTAATACTACTGTGGCTTTTCAAAACAGGCAGATTTAAATCCCTAGCCATGGTAGTGGGTAACAGCTTGTCTTTCCTTCCTACCCATTTGGCGTAGCTATCCTGCCTCCGACACCATTGTTCTACTTGGGCATTCTCCCTCAAGCAACCACACGGCCATGCTTATTGGCCCCACCCCCACTGTCCTGTCCCTGTTGTGCTTTCCATGCATTGGGAGGGAAAAGGTCTGAAGCAGAGAACCTGCCCTAAGCACACAGACTCCCTGTACTATTTAGAGCCCCAAGTTCTAAAGCACCATTAAGGACTGGCTTGCATGTAGGGTGTTGCAGTTATTTGGGAGTGCAGACCACGATTTTCTTAAGACAAACCACAGCATGTAAGCATGTAGGAAAGGTGCACTCTTTCCCCTCTGCCGTGAGTAGACCTTGAAAAAATGTCCTAGCCCACCCCTATCCCCACTATGCAGCGAGCTCTTTTGTCCAAGGGGCCATTACAAAAAGAAACCTGCTAGCTGTAGTCGGAAGTGGCACAATTCAACATTCTCATTCTTTAGGGGTAGATAATAAAGCCTGCACAGTCAGAGTGTAAGGCAAATGCACTCTCCCTTCCCAAACTACCATAATTTTCTAGGCAGTGTCACATAATGAAAGCAAGCTTTGGTTTATTTTATCATTCGTCCTGTGTGACCAGGGCAAGGTAGGATGCGAAAGAACAGGGCTCTTGCATCCTTAATAGTTTGCAGAAGAAAGGATTTCAGGTGCACCTTGCACTATTAATCTCTGCTACATTTTCCAGCATCTTCCACTCTGAAGACCAACCTCAGATCAAATGCGTGTGATGTTCCTAACCTATTGCAATACCATGACCCTGCACATCTGTGTGAAATCAATGAAAGAGACACATCTGCTACTAAGTACAGGATTTCAACCATAAACAAGGGACCAAGAGATAGGGTAGTTAGGGAAAAGTACAAGGATATGCACAGAAAACAAAATTGCTATCAAGCTAGAATGAAAGTATTAAATAAAGCTCCAGGACTTACCTACTTCAGACAATTCTTCAACAGAGCCCATAAAAACTGACTTTGAAAACTTTGGGTAGTTGTCATTTATGTCTTTAACTTTAATTCTCAAGTCTAATGGTTTTTCCATGTGATTACCGTACTGATCCATTGCATAACCTTTCAGCTGGAAGAATATTGGCAGAAAAGTAAATAATCCATATGTGTGAATTCAAATTGATACAGTAAAAGTTGAATGATGGCAATTGATATCAATCTGAGTGCTTGCTAAGAAAAGGAAGTCTGATTGCTTCACTTACATGGAACATTGGCGTTTGCTCCCGATCAACTATTCTTGTTATGTTCAGGTCTCCAGTTTTTCCATTAATCACAAACAAATTATATGGTGGTTCGGTGACTCCTGTGCCTGAAATAGTGTAAGTAATAACTATCCCGGGTTCACCTTCATGATCAGATCGTATCTGTAAGGAACATGATTAAAATAATGTTCAGAGTTTTGGGAAATTAAATGCCCCTGTACAAATAAACAAGATAATGTTTTTATAAGTAGAACATCTTGTGCACCTTGTGCATTAGAAGCCTCTTGAGGACCTACCCAAACAACATGGGAAAGGTAAGGGGGATGACATACCCAATCATGTTGTGGGTTGGGACAGCACATGCTCCTGCTTTCAACCATCACACTATCAGGCAAACACCTGAACATGGCTAAAGAGGTGCGACTACATGGGAATTGTCAGAGAAAACTTTAGGCAGATGGGAGAAATGTGGAGCTCAGAGAGACAGTAGGAGGAATGGTGGCCATAGGTAGGGATATTTATTGGGAAGTAAGGGTAGGAACAGGCTTTAAAGCGAGGACAAAGTTAGTGGAGGATGTGATACCTCATGTCACCATTGAAATGCTATCAGTACAGAACAGTTTGATGTAAAATCCAGTATTTAATCAGCAATCAATTGACTTGCGTTCCCTATTCCTTTGCTTACCTATGCTGCTTTCTAGAGCAAAGCCCACACAAGGTGACTTACATAAAGCAATCATAGGGTTACAGCCAACCAAGTTTTACCCAGAGTAGATCCATTGAAATGAATCAACCTAAGTTAGTTACGTTAATTTCAGTGGGTCTTCTCTGAGTAGGACTAGCATTAGATACAACCCACAGAAATTAACTTTTTGTTTTTGCTAAGACGACCAGGAAGGAGGTGCTATATGATGATGTCAAAGAGATACCCATTTCCATAGCAAGCCTGCCCCACATTTCTCAGGATTCTGTTCATTTGGCTCTGACTTACTTTAGCAATTGGGTTCTTATTTTCACTCTCTTCGTTGAGGAGGGCAGGTGGGACAATCCATTCCCGCTTCTGTCTAATGTGACCATCCGAATGAAGGAGCTGCTTGTTTCTACCTCCAGGAATCTGTCAGGAAAGCATATATTTTGATAAATTTTACGTCCATTAGTTTTTCCAAGTTTGTTTCTGTCAGTATTTTTAGTGAATATTTTATATTATTCTATATGAACCGCTTTGAGGTTTTTGTTGACTAAGCAGCATATAAATCTTGTTAAATATAAAAAAGATGGAACACTGTGTGCATGTCAACATCCTGAATGAACATCTATAATGAACAAGGCTATTTTAAAAGTGCATTTTTGTATTTTTCCATTTAACAATAATGTGGGGCTTGTTAGAAAAAACAGATGAAACTAACATACTGCGCAGACTAACGGAACAATCCTATGCACATTTTATCAGAAGAAAGCCTCTTCTGGATTTTAATACCATGAAATGGTTTTCAGAGGGAACCAGCCATGTACTCTCCACCCTCTAGTATTCAGTGGTAAGGTCTGAAGGGGCCTTGTAATCATTTTTGTTTGAACACACTTACAATGGAAACTTGCTGCTGAATGCAGCGAAGTCAGGAGTAGAGGGGATGGGGTCATTGTGCACAGCCCCCCCCCAACTGAACACACTTTTAATTTAATGATGGACCTCACTGACCTCACGGACTTTCAGTGAAGCCCTACAGATGGCAATTTAAGGGAGGAATTCAGCGTTGCACTCTACTGATGGTTCCATTTCTGCTTTCCAGATGGAATGATACCTCCTCTCCTCCCATGTTCTGTTTTGGAGGTCCTCATAACCCTCCAGAGAGGATTTGGGGGAGACATGGTGGGGGCAGGAAAGCCCTATTGTACTAGTTATGATTCCTCTAAAATGCCGGGTTGGCTGAATCTGGTGCTAAATAATTTATTTTCAAAAGTATGTATTTTATTTTTTGTATACAATACCTGGAATATCTTATTTTGTAAATAAATGCAAGAATACTTTTCCTTAAGGCTTGAAAAGCTTCCTGTGTGTTATTTCAGTGTGTTTATTTATTTTGTGGAAGTGGTTAGGCATTTAACATTCTTGTTTCCCCACCAAAACACCACCATCCACTCCATACGACATCTTATGCACTACATATATTCCCTCCTAGCTCAATTCATTCCCTCCCTCTTTGCAGCTTCATTTTGGAAGTATTTTTGGTCAATTCATTACAATTTCACACAATCTCCTACCTCTATGTGAAGTCCATTCCCAAAGATGGCACAGCTCTGAAAATAATAATAGAGAAATGTATTTTTTAAAAGCTACAAAACAGACATGAGAGTTAAAATAACTGTGCACAGTGTCAGAGAAATTCAGCAAATGCATTCCTCTTTGTTTGTCCACCCAGTAATGTTAAAAATGAATACAATAGAACAAACAGTAAAGCTTAAAGATTATCTTATTAAATCCATCCAGGTACCAGCTGGTCCTGCTTAGCTTCCCGGGGTCTTGCTAAGTGTAGTATGGCCAAATTCAAAACAGACTTAATTTCATTCCATTCCATTTTAAAAGAGTCACGAGACAAAACACTGCTATTTGGCTTATCAATTCTATGAATAAACCACCTTTGGAGACTTTGCCCTTGCTTCAACTCAAACTTGATACACATATTACAATAAATGAACAGCTGCTGCAAAAGTTTACAAAATGGCAGCCTTATACCAAGTTCCTTCCTATAACAAAAACTATAGAGATGCTAATATTATAGAGATGTAATTATGGATAGCTCTCCCCTTTACACGACTGAATGATTATGGCTTAACAAGCTGAGCCAGGATGCACCCCTGTTAGGCTGCAGTTCTCCTTGGGCCATTTCCCTTCCTGGGCAACTTCTCATCCTCCATCCAGGAATGCTTAATGATTTTCCTGCCACTTGCAGCATTTGTAATGCACTATGCAAGATGCTGTGTGATATGTGGCTGTATTTTTATTGCTTCTTTTCTTTTCTTTCTTATATTTTATGGTTTTACAATTTGAATTTAACACAGGAAGACAGAACACAAGAATCAAAAGAAGCAACAAAAATACATTTACAAATCAATATGAATATTTCATACAGATGTACTATGAACTACCTGAAAGCTCACAGACCACTAACGATCTGTCAACCACAATTTGGGAACCCCGGTATGATTTATCAATGTTTTAAAATGCAAATTGCTAACAAGTGATTAATAAATGTAATTTATCATCATCATCATCATGCTGCTTTTTAATGACCTTCTGCCAGATGATGGTTAAAACCTTTCTGCTTAGCAAGGCTTTGGGGACATGAATGATATTAAGCCCCTGCACTAGACTGGGTTTTAACTGGCTGCACTGAATTGTTTTCATTGCTGAACAACGTCTAAAATAGCTGCCTCATTCATATATTTCTATATTGGGCTGCTTTTAGAAATGTAGATGAGAAAGAAATATTTAAAACAAATGGATGGTGTTTTGTTTTGGAGAGCTCAGAGTGCTTTATACCCAGAGAAATAAGATAAAGTTGGCTATTTTATTACCTCCTTTTTAGGTGGAGACTAGGGAGGCCATCATGACAGAGATGAGATCTGAACTAGGGACTTTGAACTATGCAGTAGTATTATGGCTGTATACTTCCTACAACAAGCCCCCCCCCCCCCACAGAGAGCGCGTGCGCTGAACAAAGAAAGACTATTATTTACAAGAATAATTTCCTGTCAAGTCCGTTTCCATAACCATCGCTTGGCAAACTTTACATTCAGCAAACCTGCATTTGCCTCTCCATGCCCTGAAGTAAGAAACAGGGCATGGGTGATATGTGTTAACTCATCCAATCAAACTGAATTTCAACAGGCAGGTGACGTCTTCTTCAAAATCTTCTAGTAACCACCCTAGAAGCCTATGCTGCAGCCCTGAGCTGTGGCTCCTCACAGAAGAACCAGGAAGGAAAGATTCCTTCGTTGCCAAGGAAACCTTGGGTATTGTCCCCACATGCATACCTGGCCTCCGCTGTCCGGCGTTCACCCAGATGTGCACCTAGTCAGGCCTCAAGGAGCACCCTCCAGCATAATGCACTGGCAGAGACCTGAATTGGTGTCCCCAATCCAATTCTGCTTCAGTAAACCTAGGCTTTTTTCTGCTTCCTCAGCTGCCCGAAACCAATGCAAATCTGGCAAGCAAGCCACACCTCTTCCTGAATGCAAATTAAATTTGCCCAACAGTATGGAGCAGGCAAAAAAGGAAACCCTATGATAGGGTGCTCCCCAAATCCTACTCGGCCTACAGCTCACACTGCTTAAACGGAGGGTAGGCACTTTGAATGCAAAAAGGATGAGGTCAGTGGAGGTGCCGCCTTAAAAAACCTCATCTTATTGGATCACAGGGGCCATGTGACCACCCCCTCACCTTTCTCCAGGGAGGGGTGGGGTCAAACACTCTCCAGCTAAATTGCAGGAGTGGCATTCTCCTATTCTGTATATCAAATCCATTTATTCATTTCTGCCAACTCCTGATACATGGATAGCCTTGAACTGGAAATTTTCAGTGTGGTTTGAGAGTCTACTAGCCAGCAAGCCGTGCAATACTTGCTTAAATAGTGTTTCATCCAATATAAGCTCAATGTGTGGCACCTGAACCTGCAGCAACCTTGTGGTTTGTGTACTGGCCACCTGTATCAGCAGTAAGTCAGCAAAGTAAGATTAGATTTCACAAAGAGAATGGAAGACAATCCATGCACAAGTTGCATTTACCACATGGCAGTATGGTCAACAACATGCATCTTTATAAAAAAGCAATTTGAGTTAATGAGCTTTCATTCATTCAGATCATGAGTTCTGCTGACTTTTCTTTCAGAACAGGATCATAAACATGCCAGGGCGAAAACAGAACTTCCAAATAAAAAGGAAGAGCTTATTCCCATATTAATGTTTTCTGATGTTGGGAAATATGCTTTACATTCAGACTTTTAACATCAGAAGACACACACCCTTTGTAAGCAACTGTAAACTGTGTTGCAGGAACTGGCAGCCTATACAATAAGTATTCATTTGGGCAGCTCCCTAACTTCAATGCAGACATTTGTGTGTGTCCATATTAAATCGTTGTTTTGCAAGTCCCAGCACGCTCCCAAGTTGTGTTTCTAACCTAGGGGAGGTTCTGTTCCAGGGTGGATTTCTTTGTTTTGGGTGAGAAATGCATTTTCTTTGTCTTGTGTGAAAGCTACCCTGCCCTTCCATTACTAAACGTTCTGTCATAACACAGTTGAAACTGATTCATGCATTTTCTCGGGATTGTACAGGTATGAACCAGCAGAAGGTTCTGTAAAGCCTTCTGAGATTTAGCTCAAAATGGAAGTGCTTTAAGTACACAGACGATGAAAACCTTTTCTGCACACATAGAGAACTTTGCACACCTTCCCTTACAGACATTTCTTATGAGATAAAATAAAGCAGACTTAAATTGGGATTTTAATCCCATGAGCAGGAGCGTTCTATCATGTTGAACCAACTTGGGAGTCAACATTGCAAATAATATTTGTACAGTTGCTAAACATCAATGCCAAATGGGCTGGTCAGACTAAGCTGTCACACAGAATTGCTTTCTGAAGTATTTCCACTATCTAAAACAAACCAGAAAGCAGCCTTGCAGTGAAACAGTAAAAGCTCCACCACACACTACAGTTCTCTTTCAATGCACTGTCCTGGAATCTGACACATTTCCTTTGTTTTTTACATGCAAGTGGCTCTTGAAGGGCCAATCTAGAGAGGCAGTTAAATGTGTCTGTAACATGCATGTTTTAAAAACAACAGAAATAGCATGAGGCTGGTGTGGACTGATGAATTATGAAGATCACAGCAGACACACAGAGAGAATTTAACACTTTCATCTGTACTGCATTCCTGCAGAAAAGTCCTCTTTTGAAGCCAGTTTTCTGTTCACGGGTGGGAAGGAAAGGCATCATTGGGGGATTTCCAATGCAAACACCAATTTCAAAGGAGAGATTAAATGCAAGGAAACTTCTAATGCTCCATGTAGATAACCATCTCTTCTCCCTCTCTTTTCCTTCCTTTTTCCTTTCCTCCCTAAGATGCCTGCAGGCTTACTGTCTAAAGATAAGGGCAAGACAAGTCTTTATTTCTGAATTTTTGAATAGAACCTAGCAATTTTAGGTGCTTTCTAAAAACAGCAAGGGTTGTATGCACACAAATGCAGGATGCGAATGATACAAATGAATGTATCAAAGAGACGCATGAAGAGAACCAGTATGGCTACAATTTTGTCTTGAGCACATATATACTTTGTGGCAAGCAGGGGGTCATGCTGCCATTTGTTATGCCAAGGGTGGGGCACCTCTGCTCCATGAGTCAAATTTGGCACAATTCCCAATTTTGGCCCATGAGGCTGTTTTGCCCAAACCACACCCACCTGGCTCACACCTGATAGGTGTGGGGCAGACAGAGATGCAGGTGCAAAAGAACAATTGTGAATCAGCCCCAACGGGTTTGGCTGTGCTATGGATTTCCTGATCAGGAATGCAGCCATTCTTGCCCAAGGTACTAACAGCAAGTTGCCCCAGTGGGATCAGCTGTGCTATCGAGCTCTCAAGGAAGGAGACCTCCCTTCCCTGCCCAGCTGAACTTCTGACTCTTACCTGCCTTTACTGACCATTCATGGAGTTGCCAGCGCTGGCATTGGGTCCAACTGAAAGGATACAGCTCAGCCAAGGGCTCCATTTGACCCTCTCCCTCGACTTAACCCTCTCTCGAAACAAGTTCACACTAAGCATGTGTTTGGAACACCCTTACAAATTCCCATTAACCTCAACCACAAAAATGCCTTTTAAATAAAAACTACAACCATGTAACACTACTACAGTGGTACCTCGGGTTAAGTACTTAATTCGTTCTGGAGGTCCATTCTTAACCTGAAACTGTTCTTAACCTGAAGCACCACTTTAGCTAATGGGGCCTCCTGTTGCTGCCGCGCCGCTGGAGCACGATTTCTGTTCTTATCCTGAAGCAAAGTTCTTAACCTGAAGCACTATTTCTGGGTTAGCGGAGTCTGTAACCTGAAGCGTATGTAACCTGAAGCGTATGTAACCCGAGGTACCACTGTATTGGACAAAAGCACATACTAGATTATCTCCTTGACTTTGCACAACTACTTGTTTCCCAAATCACACAGTACAAATGGAGGAAACTTTCTGGAAAAATTAACCCAGCAAATTCTATGGAAGTAAAACACACACCATCTGCCAACTTGTCTCAAATGTTTAACTGGTTCAAAATAAGCCAATTATTATCCTTTCCACCCCAATTTGGCACGGACCATCCTCAAACCCACCGCTCATACACTTACAAGTTTCAGATCAGTCTACTAAACCATTTTCCTAACTATACGCCATACAACATGCCCCCCATATCTCTAATCATAATGGTGGCACACAAACCAGCCGATTCACTTTATTAACATAGTGCCACAACTGTAGCCCTAGAATTACCATTCAATAAATACAAACATTAAAGGTAAAGGTAAAGGGACCCTGACCATTAGCTCCAGTCGTGACCGACTCTGGGGTTGCAGCGCTCATCTCGCTTTACTGGCCGAGGGAGCCGGCGTACAGCTTCCGGGTCATGTGGCCAGCATGACTAAGCCACTTCTGGTGAACCAGAGCAGCACACGGAAATGCCGTTTACCTTCCCGCTGGAGCGGTACCTATTTATCTACTTGCACTTTGACGTGCTTTCGAACTGCTAGGTTGGCAGAAGCTGGGACCGAACAACGGGAGCTCACTCCGTCATGGAGATTTGAACCGCCAACCTTCTGATCGGCAAGGCCTAGGCTCTGTGGTTTAACCCACAGCGCCACCACTATGCAACAAATACAAATACAAATACAAATACAAAAAAAGGTGTGTTTGACTTTCCCCCCCTAGTGGGAAGAGTAAGGTCATGGGAGCACAGAGCATGTGCTCTCTCCTCATCCTCATTTAGTTTGAAGCCTTCATTTATCTGCACTGTCACTGCCTTGCTACAGATTTATGATTGTTCAATAAAGTGTTCCTTTTATTCCATTTTATGCATCATGCCTGCATTTGGGGGTGGGGATATCAGCATGCCCCTTTTCCTCACATGATACAGGTAAAATCTTGTCTGAGGCAGGAAATTAAGGTCTGCCTATATGCAGGTGATGTAGTATTAACAAATACTGAAGCTGAAATATGCCTAACAGAAAGTTTAAATATTGTTGATAGATTTAAGCAGACAACAGAATACAAATGGCAAAACTTTTAGCCTTTCATCTTACAGATGATGAATTGAGAAACTTAGAAGATAAAACAAAAATTCAAGTTAATAATAGATCAGTGAAACATTTAGGGATTGCCTTTTCTAAAGCAAACAAGCAATTATTGAGTAAACTACAGACTAGAGGGCAAGATCAAGGAGAAATTAGAGAGGAGAAGAATTACAGCAATAAAGTAGAATATTCCTCCACACCCACACCCACCCACCCCACTTATTACTTTAGCAATAAAATAAAACTGGATTAATGGCAACAGCTGATAAAAAAACAAGAACAAAACTAATGGGTATAAACAGGAGAAAGGGGACCCTTTATTTACTGGATATACTTTCAAGCTAATTGTCTAGTATGGATCTGTGAAGTCTTTCTTCTGTAAGGTTCTTAAGATATCCTATATCAAAACCACAGGAGAAGGAAACACATATATTTCCAAGAAAAGAAAAGAAAAGAAAAGAAAAGACTGTTTGTTGTAGAAACAGATCAAATGTTAGTGTCGACTGAAAACTACCATACCTTTTATATATAAATAAATATAATTGCCATTTTACATTAGCAGTTTCATCTTTGACCTTAAGAGTGACCTTTCCATGTTGGCATGCAAGATTTGAGTTTCTGTTTTATTAAGCATCTACATCAATGGCATGGCAGGATTAAATGAAGGTTACCTGCACATATCTTCATGTAAGGATTTATGGGATAACTAACTGATGGGTAATTAGACCCAGAGAACTAAAACCAGACGGAGAAGTAAATAACCCTGTGCTGTGGAAAAGGAAGTGAAACAGTTCTGTATTTACTAAGGAAGGACTTGCATCTATGCATATTTACTCATGAGAATCACTACTGTAAGTTCAAGAGTAAGCTGTAGTGAGTTCAAGTGAAGCCTCTGAAAGCTGCCCCTGCTATAACAAGAATGTCAAAGAAACCCGCAGGAGATGAATATCAGAAGGGAGCAAAGAGATGTGTGTATGTGCATACGTATACAAATGTGGGTGTGTGGGTCAACTGAGTTTTTTACCAGGGTGAAAGAAAGCATAATTTAACCCCTACAACATGGTAACCAACAGTAGGCCTAGATGCTCTTGCTGTGTATAAACATATCAGACCTCAGTAGCTGCCATGGAATAAATCATCAGCAACATCTCTTGAGCAGCAAGAAGTTCTAACCACTGACCTTACAAGAAATATCTATGAACATGATTAACATATAGCAAATGGAAATCACAAATTTCTCTAGAGCAGCCTTTCTCAACCTGTGGGTCCCCAGATGTTGTTGAACTACAACTCTCATCACCCCTAGCTAGCAAGGCCAGAGCTCAGGGATGATGGGAGTTGTAGTCCAACAACATCTGGGAACCCACAGGTTGAGAATCGCTGCTCTAGAGCATGGTTCTCCAAACTTGGGTTTCCAGTTGTTTTGGACTACAATTACTATCATCCCTGGCCACTGGTCCCGCTAGCCAGTCCAACAACAGCTGGAGACCCAAGTTTGGAAAACCCTGTTCTAGAGATAACACACAGACTAGTGTGCCAACTCTCCACTCTTAAGTCAAGGGGGAATTCCAATACTGGGGAAATTACATAAAGGCTCAGTTTGCATCTAGTGCTAAGCACAATTGTGAATGTGAGGGCATGTAGGCTCTTGGGGAGGAAGCTGCAGGCACTTTGCTCCTCTCCTCCAGTCCTGCCACTGCTGTGAGCTAAATCATGCTTTGGCTTAGTGCACTGGCTTAGTGTACTCTCCTCCAGACAAACCATGAGCTGTAAATCAGCTCATGGTTTGTCAGGAGTGAGATAAAGAGTGAGCCTGGGTTTGGATGACACACGAAGCTAAATTATGGCTTAGCTTGCAGAAGTGGAGGTGGGTGAGAAAAAGGCCATACTGTTTCTCTCAGACTGATACTCAATCCATTCCTAGAACAATATGTAACATGTAGTTTGCCCTTAAGTAAGTCAATGGCATCTCAGCATTATCAGTTCCAATACTGAACATACGATGTATGAAGAGGCCTACTGGACCAGATGTAGGCTCCATCTAATTCAGGCCATAGGTTTTCCATCCCTACAATAGCTTATCCGGAGCTGCTCTCCAGCAACTACTGTTCCGTGTCATGATACCTCTGCAACTGTGGGCTCTATTTAGTTATAGCTACTGTACTAGTCCTCCATGAATTTATCTAACTGGCTTGTAAAGTTGCTAAAGATAGGACCAAAAACACACCTGTCGTAGAGAATGTGATAATAATTATAATTAAAATTATCATGTCTTGTGTGAAGAAGTCCTTCCTTTTGTCTGTCCTGAATCTACTTCCAATGAATTTCAAGGGGCTACTACAAATTATATTATAGTGTAAGGGGAGGGGGAGGCAGTCTATGCCCACTTTATCCATATCGTGTATACATATTTTTATTGAAATATTTTCAAGCTACACTTCCTTAAAAATACAGGGTGGTGCACGCCATACAGATGTTACAATAAAAACATTCACAAAATGTTAAAACAACAACAACAACAACAACAACAACAACAACAATATATTACTCATACCCTGCCCATCTGGCTGACTTTCCCCAGCCACTCTGGGCGGTTCCCAACCAAGTATTAAAAATGCTTTGAAGGCCTGTCTAAATAACACTGTTTTTATGTGACATCTAAAACAAAGCAGGGATGAAACCTGCTGAATCTCTACTGGAAGGAAGTTACAAAAATGCAGTCACAAAAAATAAGGCGGGTCCTGAAAATACACATTTCAGGTGTCAAAGGGCAGTGGAGAATCATCATTCCCATCAGCAAGTTGCAAGAGTGACTTGTCTACAGGTAGGGATTCTTTGTATATGTTGGGAAGTATATTCTGTTCTTTATCATTACGTCATTTTTTCTAGGGCTGAACCATGACATCAGTAAGATGTTCCAGGACAAGTTGGATGAAACCAGTCAGACAAATCCCCCAGGGCACAATTTAAGGAATGGTGGTTGCATGGTGTCTCTAGCTTCACAAGATGTGTAGGAACCAACACCGTTTTCTGGAATCTTTGTCATTTCCTCAAAGTTTTATATGAGTCAGGACAAGCCTGGGTTCAGTTTCCCTATGCAAAGTACACCACAGGGTGATGTAATTGAGAAGAACATCAAGAGATATTTCCAGACATGTAGATACTGAAGTGTTTTAATCTGCTGTATTTTCCTGATAATTTTAATTATTTTAAAATGTTTTAAATTGCTTTGAACTGTTTTTAATTGGCAATTCTAATATTTCTTGTAAACCACTTGTTACAATCAAGAGGTATATAAATTTTGTAAAATAAATAAATATTTGCAAAGCTGACAGAAACAATGATTAATTATTATTACTTTGAGGAAGGAATTGTTTCAGTTCCAAACTTGTCTATTTCAAGATGATCTTCAATAAGATAAAAGATGTGAAACTGAGTGTCTGGTATTTCCAGCAGTAGGTGAACGAGGAAAAAATTATTTCTTCTAAGAGAGAGAGAGAGAGAGAGAGAGAGAGAGAGAGAGAGATCTTGAACTATCTTGGGCAGAGAAAACACTAATTGCTTTTACAATGATCTAGCAAATGCCCATAAAAGTAGAAACAGAGCTGGAAGGGACTCCAAAGGCCATCTAGTCCAACCCCTTGCAATGCAGGAAATTCAACTAAAGCATCCATGATAGATGGCCATCTAAACTCTGCTTAAAAACTTCCAAGGAAAAAGAGTCCACTACCTTCTGGTGGAGTCTGTTCCACTGTCAAAAAGTTATTCCTGTTGTTTAGTCAGAATCTGCTTTCTTGTAACTTGAAACCATTGATTCAGGTCCTACCCTGAGCAGGAGAAAACAAGCTTGCTCCATCTTCCATGTGACAACCCTTAAGATATTTGAAGGTGGCTATCATATCTCCCTCTCAGCCTCCTGTTTTCCAGGCTCAACATACCTGACTCACTCAACCCTTCCTCATAAGGCTTGGTTTCCAGACCCTTGATCATTTTGGCTGCCCTTCTTTGCACACGTTCCAGCTTGACAATATCCTTCTTAAATTGTGGCACCCAGAACTGGACACAGTACTCCAGGTGTGGTCAGACCAAGGCAGAATAGAGTGGTACTACGTATTACTTCCCTTGATCTGAACACTATACTTCTGTTGATGCAGCCTATAATAGCATTAGTGGTATTTTTGTTGTTTTTTGCTGCTGCATCACACTATTGACTCATCTTAAGCTTGTGGTTCACTAAGACCCCTTTTCATATGTACTACTAGTAAACCAGGTATTAGTTTAAATGATTAGCTTAAAATGTTTTACTGGTTGCTAGCCCACATTATGATTCTTAACCATAAGAACCTAAGAGAAGTCCAAAGTGAACCAGATCAAGTGTTCATCATCTAGTCTGGCATCCTGGGTTGTATTCAACTAAGCCCTACTCAGAGCAGACCCACTGAAATTAATAATCCTGAGTCATGTTTATGTAGTTCAATGGGTCTACTCTGTGTAAGACTAGCATTAAACACCACTCACTGTTTCCTGCAGTGACCAACCTGATGATTCCACCAATAAGCTCACAGAGAAGGCATGAAGGTAACAGATTTCTACCCAACCTTCCCCGTGCATACTGCTTCTGAATATGACCATTCCATTACTTAAAAAATAAAATATTTACTTTTACATCCTGCCTGTCCTCCAGGGAGCCTGCATGAGACTTCCCCTCCATTTTCTTTTTCACAACAACCCTGTGCAATAGGATAGGCTGAGAGGTCATTCAGTGAGCTTGCTGGCCAAGTGGGGATTTGAACCTGAGTCGTCTCCACCCTAAGAAGCTGCCTTTTACTGAACCAGACCATAGTTCATCTCAGTACTGTCTGGCCGTGGCTTTCCAAGGATTCAGGCAGAAGGAGCCTCTCCCAGCCCTACCTGAAGGGGCCAAGGATTGAACTTGCAAGGCAGATGGCTTCTTGGCCTAACACAACCTAACCACTACACCACACTGTCTAATGCTTGGCAACAGATCTCCATGCCATGCAGGGAACACCACAGCTAGAACAAAGTAAAACAACATCAACAACCCCCCACTACAGTTACTTTCCTATTTACAAAGACTTTCCTTCATAGCTACCTGGCGGTGACCAGACAATAGATTATTATTGTCGCTCCACCCCCACCCAAAAAGGCTCTTGGCAGAACTGGGAGAGACGGCCAAAACTAGCAGCAACTTGCCTGGAGGGCTTTAGCTCCCGCCACCTAGACGGGAACCGCCCCACCGAACCTCAAAACCACCCATTTCCCAACGTTTCCCGCGAAGGCGAAGTTTGTGACCCCCGCAGGCCGGTTGTGACCCGGAGAGCCCCTCGGTGAGGGGCGTTTCCGGGCGGGCGCGCAGCCATTCCTGCCCCCGCGCAACCTCCTAGCCGAGGTTCCCGGGCGTGGCGCGCGCTCCTGCGCTCCAGGAGCAGAAACCCTTCCGCCAAGCAGCCGCCAAGCCTGTTATTCGCCTGCGGTGCGACCTTTTCCCTCCCTGTGCTTCGAAGTGCACAATAAAACTGGGAAAGTTAAGCTCTCTCCACACGCACACAGACACACACACCCCCATATACAGTATATTTCTCGGGCAAATCTGATCGTGGGGGAAACCCCGGGTGGGCTTCAGAACTCACCACGAGCAGCAAAATCCCAGGTCCGAGATGGCAAGCCATGGCGAGAGCCCTTTGCTGCTCCCCTCCGTCTCCGAATCCCAAAGCAGCAGAAGCAGCGGTCCGCCCGGAGAGGAAGAAGTCTCGGTGCCTTCTTCGCTGCGGGCGTCCAGCTATCCCTGCTCCTTCCCCCGGTGCTGGTGATAAGAAAATGGGGCCGGCCGCAGCTCCGGCAGGAAAGGCGAGCCCTCGAGGGGCGGAGTGTAGCGCTTTGGGAGGGTTCACCTGGAGGGTGCGCGGAGCTACCCCGCCCTCTGGCCCTGTGTGATACGGCCCTACCCGGTGCAGAGGCTTTTGGCTCCGGAAGGCAGCCTTTCTCCAGAATCGATCCCGCCTTTGATGTTTTGCGAGGGAGAGAGAAAGTGAGGAAATGGGTGTTTTGTCCGCCCTTGGGTTCGCAGCCTAAGACCTTTCTGCATCCAGCAGAGCCTCACTCTGAGAAAACCCACGCAGCTCTTTCTCATTACTCTCCCAAATTCCAGATCACCAACAAAAAGCTTAAGGCACTTTGATCTTTCCCAGAAACATCCTGACATCTCCTCCCCACTCCTCGCCTTTAACCTTCCAGCCGGAGGAAGAGTTTTGAGGAATCCCGAAGCTTGTTTACTTCTTTGTGACTGTATGTAGTCCCAGGAAACATGCAGGATGTGAAGGAAAGAAGACAGCAGAGAAATTGCTGCGAAATGGGTAACACTGGAGTGACTCTGGACCAGCCACACTCTCTCACCCAACCCTATCTGGCAGGGCTGCTGCGAGGATAAAATGAGATAAACCCTTTGCATGCTGCTAAGTGCTCATCTGTGGAAGTATGGGACGCAATTTAAATTAATAGGAAATAAAAGAAAGAGGAAGAAAAGTGAATAGACTGGAGGAGGAGCTGGGAAAGAAGGGTGTTCAAAAAATACAGACAAAGGTGAGGAATATTGATAGATGGGAGGATGCTACTGGGCTTGATATTAGGCATGTCACATTTTTGTAACACATCAAGGATACACTGATAAATGTATAACACTGGTTAAATGTTCATCAAGTATTGTATAACATGATCCTAACTGAGTGGTTAGAAGGTGGCTGCAGTGCCACCTTCTGCCCATCTGCTGGGCCACAGGACTTCTGCCACAGAGAACAAACCAGCCGTTCGTGCCTCTTGCAGGCTATCACAGTGGAACAGCAAGTAAGGCTGCCAAATTTCCCACCAGAGACCCCTGATGCCTTACGTAGGCAGGTTTTGCCAGTAGCCTATAGTCAAGAACTGCAGGAGGCAAAGTTGAGATCAGTTAAATTATAAACTCTGAAGCTGTTGGAATAAAAGATTATCATTTTGTTACCATGTAGTATGTACAACAAAGAACCCTGTGTGATCACTGAGTGTGTTTAGTCTCACAGCCATTGTCTGAATTGTGCAGGCTGTGATAAAGTTCTTTAACTTCATGGCTGATTCACCTTTATTCTGGCATTTGAGCTTGCCTGGGACAGGTGCATGTCTGTAAACACAATGAAGTGCCAGGGGCTGAGTTCAGTGGTGTCTGTTCCTTGGTGTGTGTTCACTGTTATGTTCCTGAGTGCTTGGAAATGAATGCCATTCCTTCATGTGTGCACTTAACCACCACAGCAAACTCTCCTTATAAGTGACTGATGAATAATGTATGGGTTGGCCTCAGTCTCAGAGATTTGCAGGTGCGTAAATGACAAATGGGACAGGGTAGTGACCTCCCTCCCCTGGTCACCCGCTAGCCACCATTTAGTTGACGAAATCTTGTGTTTCAGACACATGATTCTTCTTCACAAGTGTTCAACTGGATCACTTCAGTAACATTCAAAGCTCTAGTTCATGGGTAGGCAAACTAAGTCCTGAGGGCTGGATCTGACTCAATTGCCTTCTAAATCCGGCCCACGGACGGTCCAGGAATCAGCATGTTTTTACATGAGTAGAATATGTCCTTTTATTTAAAACACATCTCTTGTTTATTTGTGGGGCCTGCCTGGTGTTTTTACATGAGTAGAATGTGTACTTTTATTTTAAATGCATCTCTGGGTTATTTGTAGGGCATAGGAATTCATTCATCCCTCCCCCCAAAAAATATAGTCCGGCCCCCCACAAGGTCTGAGGGACAGTGGACTGGCCCCCTGCTGAAAAAGTTTGCTGACCCCTGTTCTAGTTGGTTAGTGACTCTCTTCTCCCTGTTTTTATTCCTGCTTGTTCTATTGTACCTTGTTGTTATAATTATTGCATTTTTACCCATTTTTATACTGCTGATCTATTACCATAATAAACTAATTGATTGATTGAATCTTAAATAAGTTTAATAGGAGTGAATTAGTGAACTTTAACAGGTTATTAAACTTAAAAGAGCATTTGTAAATATTATTTGTAAATAGCAAACTAAGGTAACTTTAGACAATTGCCTTACCAGGGCCCCACTCTTAAGATGGCCATGTGCATCACTTTGCTTATTTGAAAATGTAGAAAGCCATGGATATGCCTGGTAAGTTTAAAGTGAAAAACTGCAAATGTGCATACTGTTTCTTTTTCTTTTTTAAAGTCAGGGTTGACAAACCATTTAGTAATGTTAGGAATGTAGGAACAGTGGCAACACATGGGATGGTGTGGCGGCGGGGGGCGGGGCGGGGAGAGAAAAGAATAATGTGTGTTACTTATGAAGGCTTTGTATACACTATATAGTATACTATATACTGTATACTATATACTGTATACTATATACTATAGTATATACACTATATAGTATACTCTGTATATCATTCTTTCCATCATTCTGGGCACTGTAGCTTGTTAAGGGTTGCTGGGAATTATAACTCTGAGGGGAAAACTACACTACCCAGAATTGGGGGCTCCCTGTAAGGCCATTAAATCTAGGTTCTGCTTGTCCCACTGCCCAAAGTCTTACCCTGAGAGCACCACTGATAGACTGGCCTTAAAACTCAAGTTCAGATGGATTCATGAAATGGGCCCTGCTTATTTCTGTTAACTGTAACACCCACCTTTTCTATCCTCTTGAATCTCATACCCTCCAACTTAGCATTAACAAACTAGCACAAAAATCAAACCCACATATTTTCACTCGCTTTCCCAAAAGATCCATTTGTATTGGCTTACTTTGCCAGTCCCAGCAAGCCCAGGTTAAAATTTAATATGGAGGAGCCTTTTTTGCATGGAGAACAATTCCTGCTTTCCACCTCAACTGCAAACATAATGGTGAAGTCATTTTCTTTTATGAATGCAGATTGCTGTGTTGTGACTTAATGCTTACAACAATCCTTATATTCTCAGTGAAACTTTTGCAGATCGTCATTCACAGATGCCACACCCGTCTCTAGCTGAGTAAGCCAAAGAAATGGCATTTGCCATCACGTAGATATGATTAACTCCTTCTCAGGGAGCTTGGGAAAAAGACCAGGGCATATCTTAGACTGACTCACCTAGTATCTGATTCTGATGACTCTGAAAGGGGGAAAAAAATCGAGTTTAAAGTTCTAATCTAGGGCTACATACGCACCATCCCTTTAAAGTATATTCAGAGCACATCATTTCCCTCAAAGAATTGTGGGCCCTGTAGTTTGTTAAGGGTTGCTGGAATTGTAACTCTATGAGGGATGAACTGCAGGACCCAGAACTGAGGGAAAAGAATGTGCCTTGAATTGTGTATTCCCAATTTGAGCTTCTAGCTCTCTCGTTTATTATTCTATGATTATTTTATCCTGTTTCTAGCTTCTTTGGGTTTATTATATTCACTGCTATTTTTCTAGAAAAAAGTGCCACAACTCACCATGAACGCCTCCCTTGTTCTCTTATAATGGCAATGGCACCCACTTGAGAGATGCTGGAACTGAGTTCTGGCTGACGTGCTGTGGGTTAAACCACAGAGCCTAGGACTTGCTGATCAGAAGGTCGGCGGTTCGAATCCCTGCGATGGGGTGAGCTCCCATTGCTCAGTCCCTGCTCCTGGCAACCTAGCAGTTTGAAAGCATGTCAAAGTGCAAGTAGATAAATAGGTACTGCTCCGGCGGGAAGGTAAACGGCGTTTCCGTGCGCTGCTCTGGTTCGCCAGAAGCGGCTTAGCCATGCTGGCCACATGACCTGGAAGCTGTATGCTGGCTCCCTGGCCAATAAAGCGAGATGAGCGCCACAACCCCAGAGTCGGCCACGACTGGACCTAATGGTCAGGGGTCCCTTTACCTTTACCTTTATATTGCTTTACTATTTATGGTGGGTAGGGGTTAAAGGTTGAAAAGCAGCACATAAATGCCTATTTAAACAAAGTCTACAAAAACCTGAAATCTGTTCCTCCATAATTGTCTGGATGTGGTATGTTAAAGTGGAGATCCAAAGTTTGATGAATATTGCTATTAAGATGTATATATTGACTAGAGCCAGTCAGGGTTTTTTTTAACATCTAAAGACCCAGAGAATAGATTTTGTACTTCAAAGAAAAGATATGATAAAACACCTTCTCCCCCCCTGGTATTTCTCAAACATGGAAAAATATATATAAAATAAGGTAGGCTGCAGAACAATGTCTGTAACAACTTCCCCTTCAAAAAAGTTTTGTGTGGACCTTTTTAAAATATATATTATTGAGTTTTCCTTTTTTACATTTCAAATTAAACATTTTGCAAACTTTAAAATATCCAATGACTTCCCTTCTTCTCCTTCCATGGTTCATATTACATATCATACTTTCCTGCATATTTTACTCTAACCATTCATATCAATTTTCCACTTTTATAGCAATCAAATATTATTTACTCTGTTGAATTTATCTTAATGCTGCGAGCGTTTTCAGCTGTGTACAATTATTTTCCATATATTCAATAAATATTTTCCACTCTTCTTTAAATATACATTCTTCTTGCTCTCTTATTCTGTGTGTTAAACCTGCAAGATCTGCATATTCTAACATCATAAGTTGCTAATCCTCTTTCCAAGGAACCTCGCTCACTTTCCATTTGGGGGCTAACAAAACACAGGCCGCTGTTGTTGCATACATAAATAAACTTTTCTGGCACCTGGAAATTTCTGTCTGGGTTATTCCCAACAAAAAGGACTCTAGTTTTTTAGGGAAGGTAAATTTAAACATTTTTTCACCTCATTATAAACAATTTCCCAATATTCTTTCATCTTTCTACATGTCCACCATGTGTGGACCTTTTCCAGTTTCGTTGACTGCTAAAACTTATTTTGCTTTCACTCAATTTCCACAGGAATTGGTACATGCTGCTTAAGCTGCCTGTTTACCAATCAAACACTATCTACTACAGTGGTACCTTGGGTTACATACGCTTCAGGTTACATATGCTTCAAGTTACAGACTCCGCTAACCCAGAAATAGTACCTCGGGTTAAGAACTTTGCTTCAGGATGAGAACAGAAATTGTGCTGCGGCTGCGCAGCGGCAGCAGCAGGCCCCATTAGCTAAAGTGGTGCTTCAGGTGAAGAACAGTTTCAGGTTAAGAACGAACCTTCGGAATGAATTAAGTACTTATCCCAAGGTACCACTGTATTGCTGACATGCTGCGTTAGGAGCATGTTGTGTGTTGCATATCCCCATCCACCCTGTGACGTGATCTATACATGTGTCCTATTGTTCTACTACCACTGACATCACTGACTTGCAAAAGAGATCATACTCATTAGGATTAGCATATATTGCTCCATCGAGATCCTCAGGCCAATTGAAATTCATGGCATATGCGACTCCATTGCATCATGTTAGCCCTGCTCCCACCTTTCTTAATCCCTTTTAATTCTTCATTGAACTCATTGCCTTTCCTTCCTGGAAGTTACCCTGGAAGTTGCCCAAGCAAAATTGCCCTCAGTCCATACCTCAGTTTAGCCCTGCGCAGATATGCTCTGTGTGTGCTACCTTTCAACACAGTGTGCTTGTGTGTGTGTGTGGATATGTGTCCGCATCAGTGTTTGCCTGCTGGTCCCAAGCCCCCACAATGCCTCACTTGCACATGGTCCTCGTAGGGATATATGTACATACACCCTGATGCTCCATTTAAAGGGGTCTTGGGGTCCAGAAACCAAGCTTGCTGCAGATAGACCATAGAGCTTCCAGTGGCAGCCTTAGGTCGGCCAGTTCAGTAGATCAGTGTCTTGGGGAGGCCACATTCCTTGGCATGTCCCTGAAAAGGTTTCAGCCCTCTGGCAAGTAACTGAAACGGATACATAACCAATGCCTGAACCAAAAATTCTACCTACACCTGTAATCAATAAAGTTGTGGCCATTTTTAATCCAAATCGTTGTCTGTAAAATGTTATTCTATCACACCTCACTTGGGTCATTTGCTGGGAGGAGTGGCACTGCTACTGGGACTACGACTCTCCCTCCCCCTCCCTTTTTTGACACCCCTCCCTTGCACTCAAGGCTGGGCTTAGCATGTTGTCTGTAAGGTGTGTGTGCGCAGTACAGTGGTACCTCGGTTTTCGAACAGCTTAGTTCTCGAACTACTTGGAACCCGAATACTTCAAACCCAGAAATAAGTGTCCCGGTTTTCGAACATTTTTCGGAAACCGAACGTGATCCGATTTGAGTGCACACTTCTGTTTTGAGCGAGCGGCTTGGCCCCAGCAGTGACTGCCGCAGCTTCCTTCCCTTTCCTCTGCTGGCAAGCGCCTCTTTCCTAGGTACAAAGTAGCTCCTCGGAATGTAAGTGATTCCAGAGTAGAGAGACTTGGAAGTTAGCGACTTTCCCCCAGGGCGCAGAGGCGGTGGGGTGTTTTTTTTTGGGGGGGGGAAGCGTGTGGTGGGGGAACTATGCTGGGCAAGTTGACCTTCCCGTCCCCTCGCCTTCCCTCCTTCCCCCCTGTCCCAAGCCCGACCCCAAGCGAGGTCCAGGCAAGGCAGTGTGGGCGCCGCATTCCCGAGCAGGGGATAGGGCGCTCGCCCTGCGAGCAGGCTCCAGCCCACCCGGCTCAGCGTCTGGCGGCTAGGAGCGCAGCCGCCTCCTCCTCTCCACGTTCCGGTGCTGCTGTCGCGTCCCGGTGCCGCCGTGCCCGGGACTGGGCAGATTATGATGCCGGAAAACATGCAGGAGGGAGGAGGGGGGTTGGTTTGGGCGCGGGGAGAGAACTTTTGCCTCTCCCCCCGCCCCACTTAAATTCCCCCTTCCCGCCCGGATCCTGTTAGCCACCTCCTTCCCCACACGCTCCTCGTTCCTCCAGTTTGAGTGTTTCCAACCCTCCACTTAAATTCCCTCCTCCCATCTCGTCCCTCCAATGGCAACGGGTAGATCACTGCCAGTTTCTGATACTGGGTAGTACAGGTAGATTGCATGGTTTATTGCTTTCATTTTATGGAACAATGGTCTCATTAGATAGTAAAATTCATGTTGAATTGCTGTTTTGGGGGTTGCTTTTAATTGTCTGGAATGGATTAATTCATTTTGCCTTACTTTCTATGGGAAAGCGCACCTTGGTTTTGGAATGCTTTGGTTTTGGAACAGACTTCTGGAATGGATTAAGTATGAGAACCAAGGTACCACTTTATGTCTCATCTCACTTTGTAATTTCCTTCAACAGCCTTTCCCCTTAGAGTATGAATACCTTTCCCACCCCGTTCTTTGTCTTCCAGCCATTTTTACTCTTCACCAAAGGAGCGTGGGTGGCGCTGTGGGTTACACCACAGAGCCTAGGACTTGCCGATCAGAAGGTCGGTGGCTTGAATCCCCGCAACGGGGTGAGCTCCCATTGCTCGGTCCCAGCTCCTGCACACCTAGCAGTTCGAAAGCACGTCAAAGTGCAAGTAGATAAATAGGTACCGCTCCGGCGGGAAGGTAAACGGCGTTTCCGTGCGCTACTCTGGTTTGCCAGAAGCAGCTTAGTCATGCTGGCCACATGACCTGGAAGCTGTATGCTGGCTTCCTCGGCCAGTAAAGCGAGATGAGCGCTGCAACCCCAGAGTCAGCCACGACTGGACCTAATGGTCAGGGGTCCCTTTACCTTTAAGGATCTATTGGTGCTGGCATTGGCCTGACCGAAGATGTATGACATACATATATGGGGCAGGGCAGGCAAGTGAGAATATGGTACTGTGGCCCACCTGCAAGTGGCCCAAGGTCCAATGTTTTTAAAAAAATTGCTTAAAACAATGTTTAAAAAACATTAGGGTTGCAGCACAAGTATCTCTTTAGACTACAAATCACTTCCATCAGTAAAGAAATCAAACAAGTTTGGCCAGAAGTTTTTATTAAACCGAATATTATTTTACATCTTCAAATATAAGCTTGTTTGCCAGTTTATTGTAACCACAGAGCTTCAGTAGTTTACTCACAAACAAAGCAATTCTTAAAAAAACAAAAAACAAAACCCGATCACAGCAGAAAACAGCAATAGGGGTTATTACTAACAAGTGCTTTAGGTACTTGAAGGGCAATGTTATTGCTAGTTGATAAGTGAAAAAGCAAGTGTTAAAGCCTATGTTTGCTAAGTATTAAACAGTTCATTTCTAAGGTGTATCAGTGCATCGTACTATAGACAGACAAAAACAAACCAACAAACCCTTCTTTCATTAAAAAAAGGTTTTGTATTAGGATTATTTTTATTCCCAGACAGTAGTTTCAATAAACATGAAGAGAAGAGTGAAAAGTGACTGTGCTAATTACAGCCATGCAATTCTAGGGTACTAATATTTTAGACCAGCTTAAAATATATTGTGTAAGGAAGTACGTTTTTAAAAATAAAAACACCTATGTGCTGATGTCTATTATCAAATGAGTGCATGCTTCTTACTTTAGAGAAGCTTATTTGTTACTGGCAGTCCTTGTTGTTAACACACAAAAGAGAGAGTTGCCTTGAAGTTTAGCTTCTTCGGGGCTTCCTCATGTGTACAATTGTGGGTTGAATGAAGACTGCTCAGCAGCAATGGTTATTTACATTTATAAGTAACCATATCCAAATCAAAATTAATAGCCAACTAAATATTTTAAATACAACATAATTATTCGGACAGAATGGAACTATCTTGTACAATTGAAATATGCCAAAATGGTGACGGTCTCTGACTGTGGGCATAACTGCACTCACAATGACCATATATTTGCTCCTACAAGGAATTATTGAATCAGTAGTTTTGTGCCATAGAGCTCTAATAGTGAATTCTCAGGCCACCTACTCAGCTATAATTCCCAGGATTCTTTGGGTGAAACCATAATAGTTAAACTGGTCTAAAATTTATAGTGAACATTTGCCCTTGTAAGTGCTGAAAGCTACTGAAACTGAATAGATCCAAAGAAATACAAAGAGAAACTAAGTTCTGTTTCTGATGTTTTAAAAATCTGTGTTGAGAAGTAGCCAGTAAATGGTTGAAGTGGAATGGCTTTGTAACACAAGGAAAGTCAAATATAAGGACCAAATAATGTTGCAGGAGCTTCATTAGAAATGGATCCTGTATTGACATGACAGTGGTGGTATGGTAGTTAATGAGGTTAATCCAAGGCATCATTATTGCTAATTGGAAACGTTTCATTTTCTGGCTGTTCCACTACACACATTTATAAAACAACAGAAGGAAACGAAACACTGGGAGCACTTTTAAGCAGCCATAAAAACCAAGGTCCTTAAATTTCTTTAGATGTCTACCAAATATAATCAAGGCACTTCCAAGGTAAAGAGAACAGAGTATTATAATCTGAAGGGGGGGGGGGGAACAATCATTGAAAAGAACAAATATATTTACATTACAGAGCATGTTGTCGATGCTGCAGTTACTTTCGGCTTACATATGGTAAATAACTAAGCATGTGAGCCAGAACCCAAAGAACTTTTCTAGGGCCTTTGCATGCCCAGTGAAGCACCCTATGCCATATCTCCAATAAACATGTAACTGTCAGTCGAACCAACAGATGTGCCTTTACCTTCATGATCATATATAAAGTGTTAGTTTGTGATAAAGCATAGGGATATGATGACGAAAGAAAGAAAAGCCCAATATTCTTCTGGGTGCATGCAAGCAGGTTCCCTTTGGTGTTCCTGAAGAAGCTCTTTGGATCCTGGCCAATATAGTCTATATTTTCAGTATTTTATTGACTCAGCTTTGTGTGCATTTAAGCTTCCATGAAAGCAATAAACAACATAGAAAAGATTTGGGTAGCAGTGCAATCTTATGCTTGTTCCACAAGTAATCCATGGTTCAGTGTGGGGATTTACTCCATGGCAGGCATAGGATTTCAGTTTTAGGGTTTTGCAGCAGCTTGAAAAAGGTAATAGCAAATATTTAGCCGGAGATGTTAAGCTTTTGTCAAAATACAGATTTATCAGAGCAAGTTTCTTCAGAGAGAAACCATTCAATAATCAAATTTGCTTTCGAGATATGATACAACAGGCTCGCTTAGTCGTACCTGTGCTCTTGGCTTGTTATCATTTTTTCCCAAGTATGTTGTTCCTTCTGCCAGTATGCCATGCAGTTTAAGCTCTATAGGAAACTAAGTAGAGGGATGGTAATGTATACTGTCAGAAAGGTAATTGTTTCATGACCAGAGTGGTTCCTGTAGCTGGCCAGGAAGAGTTTGTATTCATCATATACAAAGTCATAAAGAGTGGCTGATATGTTCTGAGAACTGATGGCATTCAATGGGGTCTTAAACGTGCATCATTCATCAATATTGCAATGACCTGTAATAATTTTGCTTAAACCAGATACAACCTGGAATCCTCTGCTGCTAGGGCTGTGTGTTGTCCTTAAAAGAGCTCATAAGAGTTTGCCATTCTGACTGTGATATCACACAGGATTTCAGTCTGTCATACAAAAGTTGATGTATTTTGTTTCTTTCCTCTTTCCCTCACTTTGTTACCTAGCGCCTTCATGTTTGCCAGCTAGAGAATTGAACTGTGCATTACATCTGAAGTTACTACTTGGAAGAGATTCTATGCAAGCACTATGAAATACACCAAGCAGTTCCAAAACTGAGTGAAACAGTCCGGCCAGTGTTCCTAAGGGAGCTGTTCCTAAAAGTCACCTTGAGCACAATTCCATTTCCTTTCCAGGCTGGTAAAAACAATTGAATAATGTGGTGAGCAAACACAGGGTGTTTTTAGCAAATGACATTAAGAAGGCACCACGATGGACCCACAATGCTCTCCAACACCAATGATGTATTAAAAGTCTGTGCCATTGGCTCCTGCATTATATTCACTGCCATTTGTGGATGGGGGGCGGGCAGGGTGCTAGAGTGGTCCTATATTGGCAGTGATTCTGCATTTCCTTTTTGGTCTGCATAGCTTTAAGAAGTTTTCAGGCAAGTCTCTTCCCCACCCCCATGTGATTTGCTATGTATAAATAATAACATTGTTCAGTGGCAAATCTCTCTCTTAAAAAAAAGGGAGTTTTGCAGCAATATGTAATTGCAAGAGGCTTTATTGATTCGAATACTGAATAGTGCTGTATTTTGTCACTCGCCTTCGACTCGTACCAGGAGAAGCGGATCCTATTGTTTGGCTAAGGAGATTATCGGGACTCAGCATTTGACCTGTGATGCCACTCATGCTGCCAACGCCGCCACTCATTCCTGCCCCTGACACTACTCTTTCAGTAACAACCACATTGCGTCCACCTGATAACTCAGAAGGGATGCTACTCATGCCACTCATGCCACCAATGCCTCCACTCATTCCTGCCCCTGACACTACTCTTTCAGTAACAACCACATTGCGTCCACCTGATAACTCAGAAGGAATGCTCAAATTGCCCTGCATGCCTGCAACAGGTCGAATCACTCTTTCCGTCACCACTACATTTGACCCCTCAGACAGGTCAGGAATACTCATGGAAGGGGGTATCCTTGCATTTGGAGCAATCACCCTTTCTGTGACCACCACATTGGACCCATCTGGTAGCTCTGGAATATCTATCATGCCATGCAAATCAGTGACCGGGCCAGGAGCAAGCACCCTTTCTGTTACCACAACATTTGATCCACACAGAGGATCAACATTCATTGTAGGAGGTTTCATTGTTGGCCCTGTTGTATATGTCTCAGTCACCACTACATTGCCTTGGAGCATAGGATCAGGCCTTGGAGGCTGTACAGCAGAAGTAGTTGTGTAGGTATTTTCAGTAACAACCGTCGTGCTGCCAACAGGAGGAGGTGGAGTCATAGTTGAAGATGTATTAACAACGATGGTAGTTCCAGGCGGTGGCAGGCTTATATCGAGATCAGGATTGGGCAAAGATGGCCAATTTGAGTCAGTATCTGGGAATGGCTCAATTTGCACACCCAGGCAGATTTCTGCCAAGGTCTTAAACTTAGGTCCCAGTGTATCTAGATAGGTGTCATCCAGATCATCACCAATAAAACTGCAACAGCCAATGGAACCAACAGGAGAGCCTATACCCTCATGATCATATATCAGGAGACAGTCATTTGCAGGTCTGCCTTCGTCTTCGTCAGCATAAGCAAACGCTTTCTAAAAATGAAGAAAGGGGAAGACAGAATTGAAGTCCTTGCTTTCTTGTGATCAACATGGAGAAGAAAATAAATCTATTAGTAAGAGATGCAATGCACTGCTATTGAGCACCAGGCAGAATATCAGTGGTTAAAAAATGTGCAATTGGAGTGATTAGATTTGTTCAGATAAATTCCTTCTGCTGTTAGCCAAAGGTCAGGCATGCAGAGTTTATGTTGAGGGCAGAAGGAGAAATTGATGTGCCTAGGAAATGATGTGGCAGGGGCAGATGTGGTCAGACACAACCAGCAAGTATAACTTCTCTGCACCCAGAAATACACTTGGTGCAAAGCATCCTAAATTCACCACCTTTCCCCACCACCCCTCCAATTTGCCAAAGCAACTGTATTCAGCAACTTGGATAAAAGCAGTTTGGACTTCTCTGACCCTGAATAGATTCCTGTTTACCTGGGATTGAAATTTGCCCTACATATACTGGCAAGGACAGTTGCATACAACCATGGTAAGGACTTGTCCCAAACTGGCACATTTAGTAAACTGCCTGCGTTGAAAGAAATGAACATGGGTTACCTCTGAAAAATAGCTGTCCAAGAAAGCCATATTCACGCCACTCTCTCTGTATTCTTTTATGGTCCCTCCATAGGCTTCTTTTCTTCCTGTTGTTCCATAGCCTGTAGTAGTTCCATAATCAACATTCGTTCCATAGCCTTTAACTGCTCCGAGTCCGATTGTTTCTTCAACTCCTGTACTCACTCCACCTTTATACTTAGTTGCATAGATATCTGAAAATTAGAAACAACAACAACAACCCATATTATTTTTGCATGATGCTTTCGGAGGAACAGTGGTGATTTATGTAGCCCCCAAACACCCTGGCCTACTAGCCAATGCTGAGATGAATTCAAGCCACTTTAAACCCCATTAATATGGGCAAGCAGTAGTGCCTGGTGCCCCTTGGGTCTGGTTAGGCAGAAGGGAGAGAGGCAAAAGGTACCGTATTTTTCCATCTATAAGACACCCCCATGTATAAGACGCCCCCAATTTTGGGGGACTCAGATTTAAGAAAATTGGGGAAGATGTATCCGTGTATAAGACGCCCCCTAATTTTTGACATTATTTTTTAGGAAAAAAACCTAGTCTTATATATGGAAAAATACGGTAGTGCTAGAGGGTCTAGTTTTGCACCCATCCTCTTTGTTTCTGAGTTCTACAAGGATAATATTGAGACTGAGGAGGAGGAAGCTGACAGCCAGTGCCACCATCAAGAAAGCAGGCAGAGTGGGGCTGGTTGAGGGCAGATTGAAGTTGTTGGAGCAGTGCATCCTAATAGGCTAGCTTCTACTACTGCTCATATACAGTGGTACCTCGGTTTACGAACAGCCCTGTTAACAAACTATTCGGTATACGAACTCTGCAAAACCGGAAGCAGGTGTTCCAGTTAGCGAACTTTACCTCGGTCTATTAATGGAAGCCGAACGGTGGAAGGGCACCGGCAGCGGGAGGCCTCATTAGGGAAAGCGGGCCTCGGTTTAAGAATGGTTTTGGTTTAAGAATGGACTTCTGGAATGGATTAAGTTCGTAAACCGAGGTACCACTGTATAGGTGTTTCTTTCTCCCCCCTCCCCTCCCCCTCCTCTTCTTCTTCTACTTCTTCTTCTGTGAAAGCCACACGGCGAGCAGCTTATCTGTATGGATGAACGCCATATGCAGAAAGGAACATCTGTTGATCTCTGGATTTCAATGGTATGGACTTCAGTTAACGTTGGAGGTGCTAACAAGATCTAAACCAAGGTTTCCCAAACTTGGGTCTCCAGCTGTTTTCGGGCTACAAAAACAGCTGGAGACCCAAGTCTGGGAAACCCTGATCTAAACTATAGTAGGTGAAGGCAGTCTGTGGAGCTGGGTTATGCTTCTGAAGCTGCCCTGTCTCTCCAAGCCTTTTGTATTATCCCTCCATAAATCCATTGGAAGGAATAAATATGAAAAGTATTATTTACTGAACTTACAATGTCCGTTTAGCCTTACCTGAGGAGTCACCATAGTCGCCCATGCCTGTATTTGCTACTTGCCCGCAAATATTTGAAACATCCTAAAAGAAGTGAGTAAAAATAAATTTTAAAAAGCTAGTTTAAATATTGATTTTTTAAAAGAGATGTAAATACAAGGTTTTTGGCTTGATTCAGAGGACCACAAGCATAATGGGAAACTAGACAGGCACTAGAAGCAGATGTTGGGTTGGAGTGGGAGCATTTACCTAACCTCCCGGCAGCAGAGCTGCTGCTGTTCACAGGGAGTGAAGGTGGGACAAGGCAGTGGAGGGGGAGCCAATTTGCATAAGGCTGACACTGCTGCCTGGCCCCTCCCCCTCCGCAGCAGCAACCCACCTACCAGGAGGTCAGGTAAGTGATGGGATTACACTTCTTCTGAAGGAGTGGGTATGCAACTTTGGAGTACTTCTGGATCTGCCGCTGTCACTTGTGGCTCAGGTGGCCTTGGTGGCACAGAGTACCTTCCATCTGCTTCAGCTGCACCCCTGCCTAGACAAGGATAGCCTAACATTAGTTGTCTATGCTCTCTTAACCTCCAGCTTAGATTACTGCAGCATGTTATACATAGGGATGCCTCTGAAGACAGTTTGGAAACATCAGCTGGTGCAGAATTCGGAGGCCAGGTTGCTCACTGGGGCAAGACGGCTTGAGCATATAATGCCAATCCTGGCTCAACTGCACCAGCTGCCAATTAGTTTCTGGGCCCAATTCAAAGTGCTGCTTTTGACTTATAAAGCCTTAAAAAGCTCAGGACCACGCTACCTCAAAAACTGCCTCTCCCCATATGAAGTGAGCTGGACCCTGTGATCACCATCTGAGGCCCTTCTTAGTGTGCCTCCTCTGTGAGAGGTCTGGAGGGCTGCATTATTATTTGTAATAATGCAAAACATTATTACACCTGTTTTGCAAAAGTCCAGGAAAGAATCGGAACACCATAGTTTAAAATTACTGTTGGAGGACAAGAATCCCAAGACTACATTAAATGTAGCCAAATTCTGTGCGTCTGCAATTAATCGCAGGAAGCAAGTGGTATCCCATAATGACCAAACCCCCAAATGTTAATTATAGGGGGCACGCTAATAATTAACTTTAATTTTTTATATTTAAATCCTTGTTATATTTATATTGTCCTCTGTATTTCTGATATATTTTTTTTTATGATCTGTGATATTGTGTGTGTTGACGCTGGTCTGTGACCGTATTAATAAATTCATTCATTCATTCATGAGAACGGGCTTTTTCTGTGGTCACTCCCTCTTAGTGGAATGCTTTCCCCAGGGAAGTTCACCTGGGCTTTGGTTACATATCTCTAGGTGCTAGATAAAAACACTCCTCTGAGACATTTGGCTAATTAAAAAATCTATGGCCTTTTAAACTGGGGGTGGATGGGGGGAGAATTATTTTTGCTTCTTATTATGGTATGTATTTTTGTGTTTTTATATTGTAAACCACCCTGTGATCTTCAGATGAAGGACGGTATAGAAATTTTAATGATGGTGATGGTGATACAGCACCAACCTCCCTGCTGCCTTGCTCCTCCCTCCCAGTAAACAACAGTGGCCCACCTGTCAGGAAGCTAGCACAGCAGTTCCACCCCACCTGGTGAGCTGCTTCTGCCTGGGAGACTTGCCTCAGCTGATCCTAGCAGTTGGGCAGATCAATATGGAGGAAAATAGTCAACCAAGTAATATGTTGTTTTGCTATGCTTATTTTGGTTGCTTTTATATTACTTGGGAGTCGGCTCGGAGTGAAAACACTGAAGAGTGGAATACAAATGTTGAAATGGAATAGCTGGGACAGACAATAATGGTTGTGCTAGGAAGTCCGACAGGTCCATCATTGTGTTAGAGGCTTCATATTGATAATGGGATAGATCCTGTAAAGCTTTCTGCAAAGTTATGAACCAACCCGGTCTTCAGGCTGTGCTCCTTCAATTCCCCATGAATGAATAGCTCCTTCTGAACATTCAGGCACAGGCTCAAATCCAGCCCCAACGCCACCAGTAGGACCAGATCCACAATAGCCGCAACAGTCACTCTGTGACATCAGAATTGGAACCACTAATAGAAGAGGTAAAAGAAATTGATGCCGTTTTTAAGCATTATGGCATATATTTGTCTCCAAATATAAATACGCAACTTAATTTGCAAGGAATGATAAGTTCTGAGACCCAAGAGGAATTTTAAATTAGACAGAACCAAGAATCCTTTGATTTCTAACCACTTTTATGTTTCTTTCTTTCTTTCTTTTTTCTTATTTACTTTTCTATTATTTCTTGTCGACAACACATACTATGTTACAGTCATGCACAAAATAATAAGAAAGATAACAGCATATATATAAAACACGAATTACAATAATAATAACTTATCTATATTCATCCAAATTACTATATATCTTTACTTTTACTTCCCTTCCACTCTTTCCATGGTTTCCTATTTACTGTCCTTTTAATTGTGTTTTCTTACTGTTCTAAATTATTTTCTCTTATCATCTATATTTCTTAATCTATTTGTTTAACCACTTTTATGTTTCAATGGTGAGCATTACGAACAACACATTATTTCTATTTATCCTTCTTTACACGAACAGGCATGGCTGAGACAGCATTAGGTGCCAGGATATAACTCTGATTCAAGCAGACCAGTCAGCCCACTGGTGCTGGGATCCAGTTTAACACCATTCCCATTGCTGATACAGCAGCTGCCCTGGCAGCTACATGAGCAGCACTCCTATGGCAACTGATGCATCTCTGGATCTGCTTTGCAGGTGCAGTTGGGAAGAGCCATAGCTGAGTGGTAAAGCATCTACTTTGCATGCAGAAGGTCCCAGGTTCAATCCCCAAGATTCCCAATCCCCAATCAATCTCCAGGCAGGGCTGGGGAAAACTGCTGCCTAAAACCCCAGAAATGCTACTGTCAGTCAGCGTAGAGACAGTACCGAGCTAGATGGAGCACTGGTCTGAATCAGCACAAGGCTACTTCCTATATTTTCATTGCTGCACCCAGAACTATCTGTTGATGAGGCATCTTAAGGCTTTTTGGAAACAAGTAAGACAGCTATTTGGCCATTGACTCTGCTTAAAGGTAAAGGTAAAGGGACCCCTGACCATTAGGTCCAGTCGCGGATGACTCTGGGGTTGTGGCACTCATCTCGCTTTATTGGCCGAGGGAGCCGGCGTACAGCTTCCGGGTTATGTGGCCAACATGACTAAGCCACTTCTGGCAAACCAGAGCAGCACACGGAAACGCTGTTTACCTTCCCACTGGAGCGGTACCTATTTATCTACTTGCACTTCATGCTTTCAAACTGCTAGCTTGGCAGGAGCAGGGTCCAAGCAACGGGAGCTCACCCTGATGCAGGGATTCGAACTGCCAACCTTCTGATAGGCAAGCCCTAGGCTCTGTGGTTTAACCCACAGTGCCACCCGCGTCCCTCTGCTTAGCCTTGTGCATTAAGCTATGGTAGCACACATTTCTGTGTTAAATGCAGCACTTGATACTTCCTTCAAGGCTAGGTTGTGATTTTAAAGTGTGTGAACATAAACATATAGTTAATGGGACTCCAAAATCTTCAACTCTCCTCTTGTCAAAAATCCTCATTTCATGGGAAGGTGCACAGAGCAGCTTTCATTAATGCAATAATGTTATAGCAAAATATTAAATAAGAAAGATCAGCGGTCTAGTTCCCTTTTAAAAAACACACAGAATTCCAAAGAACAAACAAACAAAACAGAAATAGTTAATTTAGTTTCAGTAGAATACTTACACACAAATATTAGTCCTCCGAGGAACATCAGGCCAATGGCTGTAGCACTAAGTGTAGTTTCTGCGCCTCCTTGTCTGCCCCAACCATCATAACCACCATAGCCACCATAACCACCATAACCACCTGTGCCACCGTCACCATAATCAATAACACCACCAGTGCCACCACCAGTTCCTCCTGTTCCGTCATCTCTTCCTCCTCCTGTTCCTCCCCAGGTGCCTGCTCCCTCACCGGTTCCTCCTCCAGTTCCTTCTCCCCCAGTTCCTCCTCCGCCAGTTCCTCCTCCGCCAGTTCCTCCTCCGCCAGTTCCTCCCCCTGTGCTTCCTCCCCAGCCAGTTCCTCCTCCGCTGATTCCTCCTCCACTAGTTCCTCCCCCAATGACTCCTCCCTGGCCACCTCCACCAATAACGCCTGTTCCACCTCCTGCCATTCCTCCTCCTCCTCCTCCTCCTCCTGCTCCTCCTCCACCAGCACCAGCACCACCAGCACCACCAGCACCAGCACCACCACCTCCACCAGCACCACCACCAATAATAGTAACAGTGATTCTTCGAGTGGCAGACTTGACACAGTTCCCATTGCGGTCACAATGACAGGCTTGCAAAGGAATAACCAGTGGCCTATCACAGCTTCTGCCACTGTTGTCGAACACTCTAACTTGGACCTCATGAATGACAAATTCTATATCCTGGGAGAACAGTGCTGCTGAGGTATCTGTTTGGGGCGGGGAGAGGGAAGAAACAAAAATAATAATTTAGATTAAGAATTCTGCTTTGGAATCTCTGCTCAGGGTCAAGTTCATGTTCCTAAATAAAGTTAGCAGTCCTTATGAGGGCAGCCTAGACTACATTAATCTCTCAGGGTCACCTCCAACATAGTGCTGAGTGAGTGTGCTGTCAGCGTTAGGATTTCCTCTTGCACAATGGGATTTCCTCACCCTCTCCTTCCTATGGATGTTCACTAAATCTGTTCTAGGAGTTCTGTCAACCCTCAGGAGCAAAGCTGGGGAGGGCACAGGGAGCATGTGGGGGTAAGAAGAAGGGGGAAGTCCTGATGAGCAAGCAGAAATCCATGTGCTGATGGGAGCCTAATCTTGTGCGATGTAGGATACAAACCTCAGAACCCATCTGGGTGCATTCAGAAAGCACATTTGAGTTTCTTTCCTGCAGCACAGTGCAGCTATGCCACTGACTTCTCTCTTTGCTTACCCTCCCATTCCCTGGGCTGATGAAGTTAATTAGCAATGTCTTGTAAGAATTGGCCATCAACTGATAAAAGTGAATGGGGGCAGGTACCCAACAGCTACATTCATGTTGATCACAGAGAAGCCAGAGAGCAGGAGAGGGTTATTTGATGGTCATGCTTGGAGAACATTCCTCTAGCAAATGCTTTGAGCAGCCTTCCCCAGCCTTCACACACCTGCCCTCTAGATGTTTTGGACTACAACTTCTATGAGTCTCAGCCAGCGTGGCCAACAGTAAGGGATGATGGGAAATGCAGTCCCAAAACCTTGAGGACATGAGGTTGAAGAAGGCTCACTCTCAGGGATGCTTTAATTGATTACAGATACTGCAAGACATTTGCATTATATTGAAGCTGAATTACATAACATTACACAGTTGCACCATGCCTTTGTCTGAATGTCTTTGTTTGCTACAAACTCAATAGATGTTTCTCCCTTCCTGTGGCCCAGATGCTCAAACTCAGGCATCCCCAACCTGCAGCCCTCCAGATGTTTTGGCCTACAACTCCCATGATCCCTAGGTAACAGGACCAGTGGTCAGGGATGATGGGAATTGTAGTCCAAAACATCTGGAGGGCCGAAGGTTGGGGATGCCTGCTCAAACTGTTGTGTAGGATTCCCACATGCCCAAGTTGAGAGTGACCAGAAAGCACACCGATTCTTACAAACTTACCATACAAAGAAATGGTTGGTGCAGGGATAGGAGGGAGGTGTTGGAAGGTAAACCAGCTTAGAAAGTCAGGCAAGCATTGACTGGCAAGGTGATCTCTACATATAAATGTACTCACCATTCACTATTCTGATGTTCCACGAACTTCCCGGAGACTGTGCCACTATTGTAAATTTAAAAGGTGGACCATATGGATGGCCATCTAGATCGTGAGCTGTGATTACCGCTGTTGGATTGTCCACACATACTCTTCTGATTTCGTCTGTTACAGTAGGGCAGTTGTCATTGACATCATCAATAGTAAGCACAATGGTACCAGTAGCTGTTGTGAAAGGACTGTCTGTAATAAAAGACATCTATATGAAGATGGTGGGTGGGTGGAATCAGGTGCATCTTACTAGTCTATGTTGCAGAAGAAAAATACTCCTGGTAAGCAAACAGCATGGCAAAACTACATTTGTACAAATCAGAAAAGTAAACAAGTGGTTGATTTTATTGTTTGAAGTTAAACAGCTGTTAAATACCGTACTCAATGGCTGATAATGGGATAAAAAGCGGTGGGGGCAGGGGGGGGGAAGGCTGTCTGCAGACAGCATTTTATTCTAGAATCAGTGGAGACTTAGTACATTGTCCACACACAAGCTAGTTTTATGGGATACTTTTTGGTCCTCAAAAGTGCTTCTTGAGAAACTGGTTTCATTTTGAAACTAAAATCTCATTGCAGATTGATTCTGCATTACCCTGCAGTGTGTTCATTTGAAAACTGGTAAAAATAAATGTAGGCAGTCCCAGTAATGGTGTATCAGTGCAAGCAGGAACATTTCCAGTTTCAGAAAAAACTACATTTTTGTGTCACAAATGGGTTAGCAAGAGAGTGGGAATAAACAGGCAGCTCCCACCATGGAGGGGTATAATAAACTGTATCTCCCAAGGGATTGGGAACAGTGATTTTAAAAAACTTGAACTTGGAGTTAGGGTTGAGCAATGAGATGGCCAGGTTTATTGATGGCACCAAATTGTTTAAGATGATGAAATTAAAAAGGTGGATTGCAAGGAGCCTCAAAAGGAGCTCTCTGAACTGAGCAAATGTGCATTAAAATGATAAATGCAATTCAATGTAAGGGCAAAGTTCTGCACACTGAGGGCAAGAATTCCTTAATTGACATTTGTGCTAAAAGGGTTTGAACTGGCAGGGACTGATCAGGAATGAGACCTTGGGATAATAGTGGATAATTCAATGAAAATGCCAACGTAGTGCGTGGCAATTGTGAAAAGGGTGAATTCAATGTGTGGGATTATAAGCAAAGGAACTGAAAATAAAACTGCTATACAGCTGCACAGTGGGACTGCACTTGAAGTGTTGTACACTGGTCACTTTCTCTTGAAAATCATATTTTGAAGCTGGAAGAGGTGAAGAAAAGGGCACCCAAAATGATCAAGGAGCTGGAACTACTCTCTGATGTGGAAGGGTTGCAACATTTGGGTCTTTTTAGTTTTAAAAAATGGCAAGTTAAGGGCAGAGGACATGGTGGAGGTATAGAAAATTATGCATGGTTTGAAGGCAATGGATAGAGAGACATTTTCTTTCTTAGGATTCTAGAGCCTCTTAGGATTCTAGGACCTGAGCTCATCCAATGAAGCTGAATGATGGAAGATTCAGTAACAAAAGGAAGTAATCCTTCACACAGCAGAATTACAGAATTTGATTCCACAAAATATATCAATAGTCACCAGCCTCAATTCTTTAAACAGGATCAGGGGCAATATACTTCTGAATAACATTTGCTAAGAACCACAAGTGAGGAGAGTGCTTCTAGGATTCCAGTAGGCATCTAGTTAGCCACTGTGAGAACAACATGCTGGAATGGATGGGTCTTTGGTCTGATCCAGCCCCTGCTTCTTATATGATCAGTACTAGTTCACATATGATAGTTTACATGCCTCTTATAATTTGGATAGTTTAAACAGGATATCCTTGGATATCAAGATCAACACCACTGAACAGCAGCACTGAACTGCCAGTAGGAGAAATCTTGTAGAGCCCTGTATCTCTTTAAAGCAGGCATAGGCAAACTTGGCCCTCCAGATGTTTTGGGACTACAACTCCCACCATCTCTAGCTAACAGGACCAGTGGTCAGGGATAATGGGAATTGTAGTCTCAAAACATCTGGAGGTCCAAGTTTGCCTATGCCTGCTCCAAAGCCTCAAAAGTCCCTCAGCGGCAGTTTGTGCCTCCATTCATTTGAAAATATGGGTACCTTTGTAAACATTCTGTTGCATGACTGAGCAGCATGCATTTATTTTGCGCTTTCAGTTTCTACTGTTGAAAGCTGAAGAAGCTGAGACAGAAGAGAGTTTACACAAAGAGGAACTCAAGAAGTGTGGAGTCTTCAGAGGTGATTTATGGGGAATCAGTTTCATGTGTGGATTTGAAACTACCACACCAACATTTGGGTGCAGTTGTTGAAGTGGGAATATTTGTATATTTAGCTATTTGAAACCCACAAAGGCTACTTTCTTCACTAGCTCAAAATGGACTATGAGATAGTTGGGAGAACTATCTCAATTTGCAGAATTGCATTTCTTCAAGCTGTTGCAGACTTCCTGTAAATAGCAAGGAAAATTATATTTAAAAAACCAGCTCTTTTCTTACCTCTAGTAATAGCTAGCAGCTCTGCAGAGTATACCCCATTGACTACATAGATTGATTCCCGATCAATCACTTTGTTGAAAGAGATGGCGCCAGTTGTTGGGTTGACTCGAAACCAGGCGGCTGGATCACGTCCCATGACGTAGCTGTTTTTGATTAGCAGAAATGAATTGGGCTTCATTTTAAGATGTAACAGTGCTTACATTTGCACAAACTGACTGATTTTATTTGCTTGGTTTAATAGGAGAAAATACTGTTATGTGAGAGCAAACCTTTTTGTTGTATCTTAAGAGTTTTGGTTCCACATATTATGCAGAATGAGCAGAGGTGACAAGACTTTGCTGAAGGTACTTCAGCAGCCATCTGTAATGGGTGCTGTAACTGTGTCCTGCACGGTCGTGAGCAGGGGTGGGCTCAATCTAGAAGACCTCTGATTGTGGAGTTCCTACTTCTGCTATACCAGGCAGGCACAATCACTGTAGGTAAGAATAATGAGTCTCCAATTTTCATGTCACAAGGAACTCCTCATGTCTGGGAAGGGCCATAATAGAACATCTGCCTTGCATTGGTTTTCATACTAAGATAATACTATTTTTTATTGCTCTGTGATTTGCTATTTTAGGATTAATAATGTGCATTATTAGCACCATTAAGTATAAATCAAAAGTGAAAATGGGTCTTTCTTCTGCTGGAAGCTTAGGAGTCAGAGATGTTTCTTGGGTCTAGACTGGTTGAAGACCACTGGGATAGACCATGCAGCAAATATTTGTTGTGACTAAATACTAAGGTTTGAATGTAGGTAAACTATAATATTCTTTCAACAGAGGCCTCAACAGAGGCCTATAGATGAGTACCATTAGTGGATTTATTTATATCACAGTCATTTGGAAGTTTCCGTCTCCACAAAACATTGACATTTGAAATTCAGAACTGTAAATACATTCCTTTAAAAATCAACGATATAATAGCCACAATTCATTTTTGACAAACGCAGTTTAAAGAGCAGAGAAAGATCATCTTTGAAGGTCACCTATTGTATACTAAATGCAGACCCTCCAATGTCCCAATTTTGCAGGGACAGTCCCAGAATCATAGAAGCCATCCTGGTTTCTGATTTGATCTCGGAATATCCCAGTTTTCCCTTTTCCTTCCCTCCATATCTCGGAAAACAATTAAAAGTAGTGGCGAGATCAGACCCCCACCCTCCATCCTTTTGGGGAAAAAAGAGCCTTTGCTTTCTCTCTCTGTGTGTATGCATGTCTATGTGTGAGTGCAAAGATGGAGTCCTGCTTATACTGAATACACACACACACACACACACACACACACACACTCTGATAAGTCTGAATGCATGGGGTGAGCTACAAAGAAGAATCCTGAAAACAAAGCCTATCTTACCGGACATTAGTGGCAATTTTCCCAGTATCCTGGTCAATAGCTTGGAATGTTCCAACGTCATAGGTAAGTATAGTTTTAGTTGTTAAGCTTTCAGGTGCAGACACTTTTATTGAAGTTGGATAAAATGCTGGTCCTTCCATTACATTGGTTATTTGTACTGTAATTGGGGTACCCTGAGAAGCCGCTGAATATTGATATTGTGAAGCCACTGAAGAATGGAAAGGAGCTATGTTTCGCACACCAATACTCAGTGGTATGCTTGAAAATTCTTCATAGTTAATTTCCTAAAACAAAGAAAGAAACAGGATGTAATGCATGCTGTTCTCTGGTCCTTTACACAAGGTATTATGCACATCCATTTATGGATAGTAAAATCATACACATATCATTTTTATTGTTAGAAAGCCATTTGCTGGAAAGTATCTTGCATTAAAATCATTTGCTGCTTGCATAACAAGACTCTTCCAGAAAAGCTGAATGCAGCGAAAAGGAGAGCCAGCACATACAAGTCAAATCCAAATAAAGCAGTCAAACGATCTTATGATCATTCTGTTTTTTTAAAATCTGTTTAATAAATTCCATAGATTACATATGAATCAGGAAGTTTCCCCAGATGTGCTTCAGACAGAGCACAGATGTTGACAGATGACACAAAAAATGCAGGAAACATGAAATGCCATTGTCAGTCCACAGTCCTGTGTGGTTGATTAAGAACCTGATACATGTGGCAAAACTGCATTTCTAGCCTAGGCTCTTTATCATACCTGCAAAGGAGCAGCATGAAATTCTGGGGAGAACCGCTGACATCACCCCTAGAATCATGCATATCACTGACCTCACACCTTCTACATCCATTCACTGTGTGGAAGTCGGCAGATAAGTAATGTAGCCATGTTCCATGCAGGACTGCTGATTGTGTAGACACCCCTTTGCAAACATGCACACTCGATGTGTGCACAACACAGAGATGAATTAAGGCACTATATAAAGCAAGTCAATTGGGAAGCAAAGCTGAAGTCTGGAGATGGGGAACCTGTGGCTCTCCATGTGTTGCTGGACATGTCCCATCAGTTTGATGGGCAGGTATGATGGGAATTGTAGTCCAGCAACATCAGGAAGGCCCCAGTTTCCTCACCCCCTGCTCTAGCTTATTTTATTGGGAGACTACAATTATCTCTCGCTCTGTGTTTCTTGGACAATATGAAAAAGAGTGGATATTCTCTACTTTCAATCAACAGTTATGGGATCAGAATTTGACTTTCAGTGAAAATAGGAAAATTCATACCTTTATAACTCTCAGGATACCCTCGTTAGTTGCTCTGTCTAGAACTATGTCAAAGTTGCCATTTTCATTTCCTGAGATAAAATAAAATTCTGCAAACCAATTATCTGTATACTCTTGATCTAAATCAAAAACTTGTATTCTCAGAGCCTCTTGATTGAGTGTATTTTCTACAATGGTAATTGCGTACTAGAAAAGAAAGAAAACAATTGTTGACACACATGCATGGGTTTCCCACTAACTCGAAAGGCAGTTTGCACATGGCTGCTACTCATTTCAAACTTGCTATGAACACTAATGATCTGATATGTATCATTTGGCACTCATATGGATACAATTAGCTGTACGGAATGAAAGAGTATCATGCTTACTTATGGCATAGTGCACAACAATCTATGGGTGACTGGGATAACCACAGCAAGCTGAAGGAAAGTGTTTTTAGAAGGTTAAAGATCTCTCTGACACACACAGGTGGTGCTGTAGTCTAAACCACTGAGCCTCTTGGGCTTGCTGATCAGAAGGTCGGCAGTTCAAATCCACACAATGGGGTGAGCTTCCATTGCTCTGTTCTAGCTTCTGCCAACCTTGCAGTTTGAAGGTGTACCAGTGCAAGTAGATAAATAGGTACTGCTGTGGCGGGAAGGTAAATGGCATGTCTGTGCACTCTGGCTTCTGTCATAATGTCCCGTTGTGCCAGAAGTGGTTTAGTCATGCTGGCCACATGACCCACTAAGCTGTTTGTGGACAAACGCTGGCTCCCTTAGCCTGAAAAGCGAGATGAGTGCCACACCCCATGGTCATCTTTGACTAGACTTAACCATCCAGGAGTCCTTTACCTTACCTTTTTTGCCTTTTGAAGCACACTGAGGACTTTATTTTATTTTTTTAATTGGAAAAAATAAACTATAATAAATGCAATGAATCAAAACACAACTCAGCTTGCTATGGTAATCCCACTGATCCATTTTTTGTTTTGCATATTTTGTTGTTCTCAGCAGCTCAATATAGAGTAACTCCCCTCCCTCCCTCCTAGTTATTTATTTTCTTTGGTTCTCTGCCATATGATTTTAATCCATAAGACGGGCAGCAGGAACCTTGAAGCTGCCCATCATCAGTTAGTATGTGTAGACAATCTCAGCTCTCTTCCATGTACAGTGGTGCCTCGCAAGACGAAATTAATCCATTCCGCGAGAGTCTTCGTCTAGCGGTTTTTTCGTCTTGCGAAGCAACCCTATTAGCGGCTTAACGGATTAGCGCTATTAGCGGTTTAGCGGCTATTAAAGGCTTAAAGGCTTAGGGGATTAGCTGCTAAAAGGCTATTAAAGGCTATTAAAGGCTTAGCAGATTAGATAAAGGGGGGGAAAAGCGAAAAAAAAATCTCTAGACTCGCAAGACATTTTCGTCTTGCGAAGCAAGCCCATAGGGAAATTCGTCCTGCGAAGCAACTCAAAAACGGAAAACCCTTTCGTCTAGCGGGTTTTCCGTCTTGCGAGGCATTCGTCTTGCGGGGCACCACTGTAACTCTGTATTTCATTTCCTGTATTACAAGTCAGTTTGTAAATCATATGGTTTCAAAGCATGCAATCACTATTAAACTTTATTTTCCTTTGTTTTATTTAGAAATATACTGTATACCTATTCTTTTAGATATGCAGTCGAAACGCTAAATGTTTTTATGTGCAAAATCCTTTATTTTGTGTGAACACGCTATGAAAGGTCAACTCCTGAGAGTTGGTCTAAAACAACCTTCCCCAACCTGGTGCCCTCCAGATGTTGTTGGACTTGCATTTCCCATCATCCCTGACCATCCCAGCCATGTTGACTGGGGCTGATGGGAGTTGTAGTCCAGCAACATCCCCAGCTTGGAGAAGTCTGGCCTCAATAGTTGTCAGCTTAACATTATCACAGGTTTTACGACATTAGTAGGGTATTCCTATCAGTGAAATACAGATTCATTTTCCATTCATTTTATTTTTTTGAAGGGAAAGTAGAAACTGGGCTGATAGTCTGGACTGCTTCCATTTCTACTTCCAAAGGCATATAAACCCACCCTTGAACACCGCTCTTCTAGTTCCTGCTCCAGGAAGGTATTGCAGAATGTGGAATTGATTTTTGCTGGTGATACTGCTTTAGTCAATAGCTTACCGAGCTCTGTGCACACGTTGGAAACTGATCATTTACATCAGTTACAGAAACCTCGCATGAACATTCAGATGATATTCCATCTGGACCGCCATCCCTGTCTGTGGCTCTCACAACCAGACTGTAGCTTGCATGTTCCTATATAAAAGTGAGGGGAAGGAAGGAAGGAAGACAAACGTTTAAACATTCACATTAGTGATAAAGCATACTTCTACATTGTAGTGCTTTTTAATCTCATCGTGGAAAATGTTTTACATGGACCATATTTTGTGGGAGGGATTTGGGTGTGTACTTGAACTCTAGGTTGGCACAATTAAAGCGGACTGAAGGGCTAGTAAACAAATCTCTCCCCCCCTTTTAAAAAAGAATCTAACTTATTGTGCTTGAAAGTGAAGGGGGAAGTGAATTAAAAAGTGTAAGGATGAATTTTCATTTAACAGCCCTGCAAACAAATAAGAATAATGGCTGAATAAAGAAGAGATGATATAAGTGAACCTCCGTGTAAGGTTTGTGCAAGAAAATCAGGACGAATTCTCAATAAACTGGTTGTCTGGAGGGATCCTATGATGTGATGTAATGGGAAAAATTATGAAGCATTTTAAGTGTCTTGTTCGTCATTGTTTCATTGACATCATTTTTTGCAATCTCATTCAATTTTGATGCAGAGTTCAATGGCATTTACTCCCAGGTAAGCATGCACAAGGTTACAGCTTTCTGCATAACTGTCCCTTCAACCCACCTTATCTTTCTGATTTTTCCCCCTGGCTGATTTTCTTTTCTTGAATATATAGCAAGTTATTTTGTGCTGACTTTTCAGAAAGCTTTCTTAAGTCCTGAATAGCTCTTTCCCCTAGCATACAAACTGCGGTATTTCTCAGGAAAAGCAGTGGACTCATATGCATGTATTTTTACCTCTCTGTCAAGGATATTTGCAATGTGAAGTTCTCCAGTCTGTTTGTTCAAAATAAACTTTGATGGACCTCCAGGATTTTGACTCACGATCTTGAAGGCAATTTTGGAATTCAGGTTATTTGGCTCATCTGCATCTGTAGCAGTTATTTTCATCACCAATGTGTCTGGAAAGAAGGAGAAGACCACTCAAACAAAAACCTTAAGAGCTGCACTTCAGTTTATTAAAACTGTAAGGATGCCATAATTTGTGAATTCTCCAATATCTCTCTGCTTACTAAGAGCAGGACAGAAGGTATTTTTCAAAATGTTAGGTGTGTTTCAATGAAGTTCCCCAGTCTCTGCTAATGTGCTGCACTACAAATGTAGCAAACTCTGATGTGCCTTTAAAAGGCATCATTTTGGTTATTTCTCTAAAGCAGGGACAGGGAACTTCTGCCCCCCCCCCATGTCTCCAGCTCCCATCAGCTAGCATGGCCAATTCTGAGGAATGATGGGAGTTGTAGTCCAGCAATCACCTGGAGGGACTACAGTTTCCCAGATCCCTACTCTACAGACACAGGGTTTTGGCCTGCAATCCTAAACCCACCCAAGAGCAGCCCCCATTGAACACAATGAGGCTTAATTCTGAGTAGAAGTGCATAGAATTGGGGAAAGGGCAACTGAATGAGGATGGGTGAGGAATCCCAGATTGAAATGGAACATGATGAGAAACATAGATCCACACTTATTTTATCCAGTGGCAGAAATGGCTACAATGTGTTTGTAATGTACTTACTGTCCATGCTGCCCTCTGAAATTGACCCTGAAAACACACTTTGTGTAAATATGGGTGAATTGTCATTTACATCCAGAATCCGGACTCGAAGGTCAAGTGGTGTTTCCACTGATTGTCCAGTCACAACATTTATAGCAAAGCACTTAATCTGCATTAAGAAATAATAATAAAAAAATCAAAGATTAACTCAGAAGGAGTATGTAGTATTCAAAATACCCAAAACCATTCATTTGTTAGGTAAAACAATTAATCTAATTTAAAAATGCTGCAGGATTAATAATAATAATAATAATAATGTTAACAACAATGTATTATAAAATACAGTCTGCCTTTCAAGGTGAATACCAGTGAGAAACAACAAAGCAAGCATAACCAACAAAACCAGCACTAAAAATAAAATGAGTGATAACAGCAGAATGAATAATAAAAAACCTCCATAATAATTGTCCAATAGTCACTTATGTTATAAAATCATCACCGTTAGTCTACAACAAAGGAGTCCCAGAAATTACCATATTTTTCCATGTATAAGACTATATTTTTTCCTAAATTTTTGAAGTTTAAAATAAGGGGTCATCTTATATATGGATAGTGCATAGTGCATTTTCTTAATTTTGGGTTAAAAAAAATAGAGGTCACCTTATACATGGGGGCGTCTTATACACGGAAAAATACGGTATGTGTTGCTCCTTAAAAGGCCCTGTAGTTCCCACCAGATGCATCTGCGATGTTAAGGGATGTAAGAACAACCCAGCTGGATTAGCCAAGTGACTCATCTAGTCCAGAAGCCTCATCTAGTCTAGTCACAATGGGCAGCCAGATGCTCGCGGGAAGCCTGCATGTAGGACAGGGTTCAAGAGCACTCTCCCCATCTTGTGGTTTCCAGGAACTAGCATTCAGAAGCATACTGCCTTGGACAGATATTCTAGTTCTAAGTAGTAGAGGGAAAAAACATTATAGTTTTGCAAACACATAGTACTTACAACAAACATTGGTGTCTCCTCTCGGTCTACTATTTTTGTTATATTAATTTCTCCAGTCTTTTGATTAATGATAAACACTCCAACAGGATGCTGATCAATTCCTACTCCAGAGATTCTGTATATAAGTGACTGAGTTTCTTCACAATCTGATCGGATCTGCAAAAGAAAACAAAAAACAAAAATTAGCTATGTTTTTCTCAACCCTAGATTTACTTATGTATTTATTTAAATGTGTACAAATGGCTCTACATTCAAGGAACATTCTCGTGAGATGGCCTACTCATATCAGTGTAGTAACAAAACAAAAAAAAGGGGGGGAGTAAGTTTTTGCTACTTGTTTCATGCAGCTGGCATACTTTGGTGCTGGTTTAGATGCAGACCTTGGCTTAATAAACCATGGTTTATTAACCTAGGAGCAAGTGTCATTCCTGCAGTGTCATCCCCATCCTTCTAATCCCCCTTTCTCCTCACACGCCAGCTATGACATTTTGATTGTTGTTTCTTTAAACCATGGTTTCCCGCTATCTCCAAAATGCAAACTGTGGTTTCATTCTGGCTTAATCATCAAAATGTGAAACCAGGATATAAGTGCATGAGAGGAGAGGATGGGGAGGTAGCACTAACTTTGATTATATCCCCCAAGCCTCCAGGGCAAATTGAAGGGGCACAATGAGTTGTAGGAGAATGGGGGAACAGACAAGAGTTTCCTCTGCTCCTTGCACTGCAGGAGTGGAACTCTGTGGAGGGTCTTCTCCTGCCAGCAGCTGCAACTTCAGGTTGTTAGCCAGTGTATCATTTATTGCATGCCTGGCCAACTCCCTAGAGACTGCGATCTACTCCCAGTATAAAACAACTGGCAGTGATCTACCCATTGTCATTGGAGTGGGGGAGAGTTGCTGAGCTTTTTAAAGGAGAGGTTGGAGTTCTTGAGCTTTTTTTTAGGGGGAGGGCAGAGTTGTTGAGAGACACTTTTAGTTAGCATTATTCTGCCCCCCCCCCCCCGGACTCAACCTTGAGGAAGGAAACAGATTCCAGCACTGTGTCTTGTTACAAACCATTACGGTAGCAAGTCAACTAAATTTTACTCAGAATAGATCGACTGAAATGAATGGATTAAAGTAGGCCTACACTGAGTAACACTTAATTGACTCCTACCCTAGCAAAGGGGGATGGGGGGCAGCTGTCCCCCCAATCAATAAAAAACAATATAAGTCTGAACAAAAGCCTGCCCCCTAACAAAAATCCTGGCTATGCCCATGCACCCTTAGTCCTAGTGACACAACTAACCTTGATTTTAAAGAGAGTGTGTGTGAATTAGACACCACACTTTCCAAAAAAAGCTCCTAGACTGTAAAAAAACAGTTGTTGGTACTTTACCTTTTTTCTCATTATCAACCTTTATCAGATCTTTGCTGTAAGTTTCGCACACCGAAACTGCGGAGTCATTTATTTAAGCCCAGTGGACTTTGCTACTTAGTCAGTACATGGGAGGATCTCTGCCTTGTTTGCCTGGTAATCTACAAGTTTGCCTTAGTAATTCTTGAACTCTTCTGATTTGCTTGGAACTTACCCTTGCAATTGGATTCCTCTTTGAATTATCTTCCCCTTCTCTACAGGCTGCAGCAAATTTAATCCATTCTCGTTTCTGCCTGTGGTGGCTTTTCCATCTCTCCATGCCTTTTTCATCCCATTCTTTCACCTTGAATAAACAGCACATGTGCATTAAAAGGACTAACTGAACACCATGAGGACCAGTTATTCTGAATATTGAATGTGGTTTGATGGAAAAGTGGGTGACTCAGGGTTAGGGTTCTGAAGGAGACAGGAGGAACATGTGAAAATAAGGCCCATGTCCAGGAAAGGATGTGTATGGTGGGTAAGAAGAGCTGGAGGAGGGCTGAATTTCATGTAACGGTTCAAAATAGGGTGTTTCGTCTGCAAGTCTTTGGTTCATATGTAATAGATTTGTGGGATGCACCAGCAAATAGCTGCTTTACATAGTGATCCTATGCTTTGAAAAACAAACAAAAACAAACAAAACCCTCAGAAGTCCCACTGTACTAAATAGTCCCTACTCCCTGATACCTGGGAGTAAGTCTCATTGAGCCTAAGTCTCATTGTCTAACTAGACAAGCATATGGTTGTGCTGCTAATAACACTGTGGTGATTAAATTACCTGAACATGAAAAGCAGCAGTGCTGAACTCCAAGGATACCTAGAAGTGGAACAAGAAAGAACAGTCAGAGCAATGTTCACCTTAATTTCCCCCCGCTTATAGAGCTCACAGAAACCCATCTATGTCTTTCAAAGTCTGCATCATCAGCCTTCATATTGCTAAAATGTATACAGATTATACATTTGGTCGGCGGTTCGAATCCCCGCGGCGGGGTGAGCTCCCGTCTTTCGGTCCCAGCTCCTGCCCACCTAGCAGTTCGAAAGCACCCCAAGTGCAAGTAGATAAATAGGTACCGCTTTATAGCGGGAAGGTAAACGGCATTTCCGTGTGCTGCGCTGGTGCTGGCTTGCCAGAGCAGCTTCGTCACGCTGGCCACATGACCCAGAAGTGTCTCCGGACAGTGCTGGCCCCCGGCCTCTTAAGTGAGATGGGTGCACAACCCTAGAGTCGGACACGACTGGCCTGTACGGGCAGGGGTACCTTTACCTTTTATACAGATTAAAAGTAAGAATTTGATTCCACAGTGTCCTTGCACAGGTCCATTCCCTCTCCTGTATATTTTCCTTCACATTACTGCCACCTCTTCAATTAAACCAAAGCATTTCATGCACCTCTCACTACTAGGGAATGCAATATGTAAATATGAATTTGCAAGCATCTGTATAATGAACAGCCAAAACAAGAACAATTTCTCATTTTATTCATGAATGTGAAATGCAAGTCAGTGAAAAACTCCCTAAATCTATATTGTAATATATGCATCAGATTACAAGCAGATTTTTTTATGGGCCTGTCCTCATGTTGGCTGCATATTTAAAAGCCCTGCACTGTGCAAACAGATATCTTTATATTCACACCAGAGATTTTTACAGAAAGCAAACATTAGATGAAAATGAGATCATGCTCATGTGACCATAGAAATTTCAGTCAGCCATGTCTTAATCTACTAACAAAAATAAAAGTAAGTCAACTCCAAGAATTTCATTAGTGAATTTTTTTGCATACACCATCCTGGGCACGCACAGGGTCCCATACTCAACAACAACAATTCCAATTGATAAGTCACCCTTCACCCACAGAGGCCGCCTGAGACTCCAATGACAGTGTTGAATCAAGGAGCGCTCCCAGAATATGGATCTGCTCCTTCCAGAGACTTGGGACACATAACACTTCTCTCTTTTCAGGATTCAGCTGCAGTTTATTGGCCCACAGCTAACCCATCACTGCCTCCAAGCACTGGTTTAACACCTCAGCTGCCTCTCCTGACTCAGTTGGAACAGAGAGATAGAGTTGGGGTGTCATCTGCATATTGATGACACTCTGTAATGATTAGAATAGGTTGTGGGGAGTGCTTTGTTGCAGTGAGGTTTCAGTGGCCAACAACAGTTTCCCCAGCTTGCAAATGTGGCCACAGGTCCAAAAAGGTTAGCAACCCTTGTGTGTTCTTCACACTTGTTCAGACAGCAGCTTCCTCCTCTTTAAACGGAAGCGATTGTTCTTGGGATATCAGATTGTATTGGAGAGAATGCTTGCTGAGTGAACTAGTAGAAACACACAGCCTTTTTATCACCCTTCTTCAGACAACTGCTCAGCTCATTCTCTCACTGACCTTCAGTTATAACTTTGCCCCAAAGCCAAAGGACAACATGCTGGCATTGCTCACAACAAAACTTTAGAGAAATGGTTGAGAACTTCAAGCTCAGGAGGTCCTTCTTTCTGACCCTGAGGACTCTCCCTAGACCACAACCCCTCCGCAGGCCACACCCCTCACTAGTGCTGTTCCACACCCTCCTTGAATGTTTTAACCTGGCTGGAACAGGCCCTTGTACTGTGAAAATGCCACTTCCTTGCCTGAATGGAGTTATTTGCTTATAGAAACCCCTGACTTAGGTGTGGCTGGAGTGTAGCCTAGGATGCAAAGGTAAGAATCACCATCACTGTTCCCCTCTACCCCCAACACTTTGGATCTTGCATGTGCCCTCCACAAGGTTTTCCACAAGGGGATGTGGCTTTTGGGATGAAAAGCCCCCCCCCCTTTAGAGGTTCTACCTTCTTCCTGACTGACAAGTCACATCTCAAATGTGGAAGACTTTTGGGAGCACTCTCCAACAAAGCATGAACAGATGTTCAGGAAGAAGCATCTGGTTGTGTATATAGAATACTTTGGATTCATGCCTTTTCTATTAACTTCAATTAAATTTAGATCAAATTCTTTTGGGCAAGATTCACTGAGTCTTGGCCTTCCACTTGCATAAGGGGCTTCTCCCCTCATCTCCCTGTTTGTTTCCTGCACCTCCAAAATTGACTTGGTGGTGTCAGGCAAAACCCCAGAACAGCACGTTTAGGAGAGGATTGTTCTGTTTGGCAAAGCGATATGTTTGCCCTGACAGAATGATAAACATAGCACCATGTTGAATTCCTCTATTTGAGTGCACGTGGGCAGGCAGATTTGCCCCAAAGTTCCCATCATCATCAATTTACTTAGACTGCTTTTGGCAGGTTAAAAGGAGGAGCAAAAGCAAAAGGACAAATGTAGATGATGATGGGGGGAACCCAATGTAAATTTCACAGCAAACTAGCAACAGTAGACGTCTTTTAAAATATATATGAATGAAAGTCAAATAAAACTCTGTTTTACTGGTTACATAAAAGACAGGTTAGCTTTATGAGAAACACAGTCATCTGAGCATCTGTATGGATGGTAATTATCCAACAATCATCCTCAACATGGTGCATTCAGCTTCCATCACTCTGGCCGGGGTGCCAACTTGAATAAAATTTTGGGGGGTCCAGGTAAACCCTGCCCCACATAATCAATCACAAGGCTCAGCACACACATCATTTGAATGGTAATGGCCATCAACTTGGGGGGGGCTCATATATTTTATTGGGGGGCGAAGGGACCTCACCCCCTTGGAGTTGGTTCCTATGAGCCTGGCTGAGGTTGGTGGGAGTGGTAGTCCAAAACAGCTAGAGAGCATCACTTGGAGAAGGCTGATTTATAATATGTGGGCTGAGGTGTGGGTGTAGGGGCATACAATTTAACTAATAATAAACAACTATCTGACTTTTAGAAGACATCTGAAGGCAGCCCTGTTTAGGGAAGTTTTTAATGTCTGATGTTGTATTGTATTTTTAAAATTTTGTTGGAAGCTTCACAGAGTGGCTGGGGAAACCCAGCCAGATGGGCGGGGTATAAATATATTATTATTATTATTATTATTTCTGATATGTTAGCAAGTCTGAGTTGAAAGAGATTGAGGGGAGGAATTAAGGCTCTCTTTCCAAATTAGAGATATAAGTATCAGTCCTTCTGTAGCCAAAGTGTCAATATCCACTTGCAAGAGGCGAGTTTTGTATGCAGAATTATAAAGAGCAATCTTCAGGAGGGAAAGTCCAAGGGAATTCCCCAAAACAAACTACCCAATAAGACTGAGCATATTCAATTATGGCCTGGCCACAGAATCCTGACTGTTGGGGTGGGTGGGGTGGAAATGGAATGCAGTATCACAGAGAAGAGCATGGGTGACTGGATATAATCATGAACACCAAAATATACAGCACTGCAAAATGTTGCTGTTGCAGGTTCATTCTATTTCTGATGTTCAGGTGCCATTGCTTACGTCGGCAAAACAGACTCACCACCCCACAAGAGGTAATTAGCAACAGGCTTACGAGAAACCCAAGATTTGCAGAACTACAGAAAACTTTTGGGGAGGGGAACTCTAAGGGGCAGGAAACCCACAAGCAACCCAAGGAGAATAATTATCCAAATAGCTCTGAAGTGGTACAGTCCAGGACCCACTCGCTGGATCATCACCTTGTCATGGTGAGTGGGCTTGAATGTTCCTATGACCCTTGTGAGTGAAGCTGTTGGGAATCTCACACTCCCAGCAGGGTCACCGAAGGCGGTAAGGTCAAAGGGAAGGAGCTAGACAAAGAATGATCGAAGAAGTCCTCAATGGCAGAACAGGCAGACGATAACAAGCAGTATGTTACAATGGCTGTGAAGGCGGATGAAGGCTGCAGAGTCCTCGAACTCAGGACGCAAGGGGGAAACGTGCTATGAGGAAGGCACGCTTGGCAAATCCACACTGTGATCAACTCCCACCTGGAAACCAATGTCCCCACTGTGGAAGGACGTGTGGATCCAGAATTGGCCTCCACAGTCACTTACGGACTCACCGTTAAAACTGTGCTTATGGAAGACAATCTTACTCGGCTACGAGTGATTGCCAAAGGAGTAGACAGTCCAGGAGTGCTGTATTCCAACAGATGTTATCAATGACTACTTCATAGGCAGGCTAAGGGGCAGCCCCTTTTGAGTCTGCACTAACTACTTTCTCCAAATATTTGAATGAACAGAGCACAAAAGATGACTACTGACACTCAGACACAGTTTATTACCACAAAGAACAAAGGCAGATCTACTCCACCTATAAAGATGGGCCTGGTCTGCATTTAGTAAGCATTAACCTATTAAAATTCAGCATGTGGTTTTGCCTCACCATCCCATGAGAAAATTCTAGTTTGCACCTCCACTTTTCTTCTTCTGTGGTCCAGGCAACACGAATGCTTGCTATGGCTGCTAACTTATTTAGCACTTCTTATTACCAAAATGGATGGTGATCTTTCTTAGCTCTGTTGCCATGACAAACTTATGATATACTTTATTATCTGTTTATTTAACAACATTTTTATACCACTTAAAATCATCTATAAAAATAAATATTAGAGGGGAAAATGCCACATATGTAGGTGTTTTGAGAACCATGTACAGCCTTAGGGAAGTAAGAAATGATATTGGGAGCAACACAATGCTGGAAGATCTTGTACCAATACTACTTCCCACTTCCCTAAGGCTACACCTGGTTCTTAAAAGCCTACATATGTAGTAATTTTCTGCAATATGTTCAGAGTTAAATTCAGAGTGTGGTGGTGGCAAGCAGACAAAAGGATGTCAAGTAGGGTTGACTTTTCCCTTTGGCTACTGTGGACTGAAATTGTGAAAAGGCCTTAAGTGCAGTGCAAATGAATGCCAAATAATCATGGTCTTCACAGATCTGATGCACATCAAAGTGCATTCCAAATCATCCATTCCACAGATATGCCCCCTGTTAGACATTCATTGGTTTTCCTGTACAAGTGTAGGAGTTATCTGAAGTCATCGTTAGAATTGGTACAACTGCTGTTAGAGACTCACATGATTTACCCCATCCATACTGTATGTGTCTCTTGGAATGAAACATTCTTACTAGTCCTGTTGAGTGTTACTTTCTAATGGAAATATTCTGGTAGAAAGCTCAATGGAACTAGCACATAGTGTTAAGACTGTCTATAATATAAATCTATGAATTACAGTTCATTCTTAAATCTATGAATTACAGTTACATCACTGCAAGTTTATAGTAAAAAGCCACTGGACTGGGATAACTCAAATAATGAAGAGAACAATCCACCAAGAACTTTTCCTGCACAAATTCCTTTGAGAGGCATGGGAGCTTCATATGAAAGCATCATAATGTTTTCATGGATTTTGGTGGGGTTTGCATAGGAGATCTTGCTAATGGTATTTTTGCCCATTTTCAACAGAGACACACTAACTGCAACTCATGAGTATGCATTATTTTGCTATCTTAGCTAAGAACTAATTTGGGGAAACATATATGTGCTTATTTCTTCTTTTACAAAAAGGGAAGTAGATTGTTTCCTGTAGGTTCTGCTTCTGAAAAGGAGAAGAATGTATATATTAAAAAAACAAACCCAAAAACGTCTCATGAACATTGTCCATGTAGTGGAACTATCTTCTCTTTTTACTTAGGACCATTGTAGGTCTCTCATCATTGAGGGATGAATGATTGTATGTATGTATGTATGTATGCATGTATGTATGTATGTAATTACTAATATTTAATTTTTATGTGTATATCCCACCTTCCCCCAAGGAGCTGAAGAGAGTCAACATGGTTCTCCCTCCATTTTATACTCACAACAAGCCTGCAAAGTAGGTTAAGGTAAGATATATACTGGCTGGCCCCAAATCACCCAGTAAGCTTCATGGCTCTTTGAGAATTTGAGTCCAGGTCTCCCCAATCCTAGCACAACATTCACCAATGCACCAAAGGTCATTAGTGAGCCATCAATCAAGGGCATAGTTGGTTGCAATATACAGCAGCATGGTGTGGGAGAAATGTTCCTTGATCTGAACTTAATATTTGATACTTTTACTCAATGTGGGGGGTGATTTATTGTGGCATATTACATTATGTGCACCAGGCCAAGAAATAAGTCTTTTGCTGCATTTGCTTTGATGCAAAATTTCTCATGCCAACAAGGACAGTGGTAAATTCAAGATGCTCATGTGAATTTTGAGAAAGGCAAGTGGACACTCCAGAAACCAGCACTCATTAATACAGTCAAGAGTTTCCAAGATGCATGCAGATTCCTGCCTGCCTCTAAAAGTTTCCCATACATTTCAGTGGATGGAAGTTAAATCAGCATGTGCATTCCTTTGTGGGTGTTGTTCAACTCTCTCTAGTACAGTGATTTATTCCACTGTTCAGACAGGATTTCTGAAGTTATTGATCTTCCGATGCTTGAAGCAGAAATCCTAAACACGCTTAATCGGGAGTAACCCCAGTTGGACTCAGAATGACTTACTTCCAAGTAAACATGTATTAGTCCATGTGTTGTTGCATTGAAAAAAAATTGAATGTTTTAAATGTTTGAACCCAGATTCCCAAAGTCTGAGTAGTTATTTCAGATTTGCAAGACTGCAAAAGAGATCAGCTTCAGCGTTCCATTACTTTAATATGCTGCTCCACAACTTCTACTTCAAAGCCATTTACAAACATGAATTAATTAACTACTATCAGTGCCAAGGCAATATTATATGCAATTATGGCATACTCCCTGCTCCACCTACTTGAATCCAAGTGACTGAACATGCCCTTAATTCCTGATCTGTTCTCTTTCCCAGTGCTGTTCTTTTTAGGAGTTGAGCCTGTCTCTTTGAAGTCAGACAGGGTATTGCTGTGAACAGGGCTGAGTATTCAAGCGCATTATACTATTAGTCATCTTTGTGCCATTGTAGTGTGCAGTTGTGTCAGCATTTTGGACTATGCATTTTATTCCTGCGCCAAAACTCCCACTGAAGAAGATTAGATCTTTCCTTTTATTACATTTATTTCCAAAGTTCTGTAACTTTGCAGTCGAAATCCTGGCAGATGGCGTCTCCAAGCCTAAACACCATTATATGGTTAGAAATCCCACAGAAATCAAAAACTCAAACAGGATGTGCATCCATGTAACTGCATTCATGATTCAGGCCTAAATATCTAGGTACCTGGTATCTGTCTTCAAGTATTGTTTCTTTTTTAAAAAGTTGATGTTTAAATCCAAGCTAAGTCATTGCATTCATGAATGTTAATAGCTTCTTTGTTTTGTTTTTTAATTAAGAAAGATAATTGTATTTCAAGGATACCTGCAGAATTATGGGCCAAATCCTGAATTCCAGAAATAAATTTGCCAACAATTTTCAAATTTGTTTTTCCTCCAAGTTTAGGTAACAAGTCCATATATGTGACACTTGTTTCTAATTATGTAGAAAGCCAGCACCATCCCTTTGAGCTAATGGATGTAGCAAATAGTCAGCTTTGGAAACCTAGGATGACTTTTATTCAGAGTGAATGGGAAGAATCTATATTATTGCTTAATAGATAAATTGTACTTTTCTTGGGCTGCAGTATAGGGAATATGCAGGGTCCCTAAGGATAATTGAGTCCTTAAACAAATTGGCCTCTGATCACATTCCAGAAGTTCAGCTCACAATAGGAAGGTTTGTGGTGGCATCATTAAATAACCCATTTTTTTGGTGCATGACACACCACCCATGTGCCAAGTGATCTTGTAACTGAGCTCTGAGCATGCACTAGACTGTAGCCATTCAGGTCAACATCCAGACTATCTTTCAAAAGGCTTAAACATGCTGAAATCTCAATACAGTGGTACCTCAGGTTAAGCACTTAATTCGTTCCGGAGGTCCACTCTTAACCTGAAACTGTTCTTAACCTGAAGCACCACTTTTGCTAATGGGGCCTCCTGCTGCCGCCGCAGTGTCAGAGCACGATTTCTGTTCTCAGCCTGAAGCAAAGTTCTTAACCTGAAGCACTATTTCTGGGTCAGCAGAGTCTGTAACCTGAAGCGAATGTAACCTGAAGTGTATGTAACCCGAGGTACCACTGTACTGGATTGTCATCACAAACCGGTATGCTATGCCTCATCCTGGATAACATTACTTAGTCTCAGTTTGCTGTGACACTTCATTAAAAATACATACAGGTAATCTAGCTTTTTATTTTAATAATTGGAAGGGAAAATGAAGGTGTCTGGGTGAAAAAATGAACAAGAGAATTGGCCAAGTGGAGATGGCATAAACTAGTTTTCATCAGGCAGGTGGTAAAGAAAAAATGCACTGCCTCCATGAAGCAAGCCTGTACAAGTACTATGAACACAGCCCAAACAGAAAAATCAGTATTTTGCAGTGAGTATTCTTTGGATCAAGCAGGTGTTGAAAATTCAGATCAGATGGGGAAATATATACTGACTCCCTCCCAGACCAGAACATTTGTTTCAAAATAAAATTGCTAGTTTTAACTTTTGATTTTTCTGTTCTTCTGTTATCTAGAATATTAGCACTGGTTCACATGCATATCATAATAGACATTGTGTGTGTGTGTGTGTGTGTGTGTGAGAGAGAGAGAGAGAGAGAGAGAAAGAAGGAGAGATTCTGTGGTTTGGGAAACTCCAAATTATGAAGCGATTCCTCTTACTTCTGCCTGTGAAGTCCCCTCAGTGATCATGCTCTCAAACAAAGACTTGGATATGCCGAAGAGCTTGGGAAATGCCGGTAAGATTACTGGCCTTTCTCCCCTCCACACCCAGGCAATGCAAAGTTACAAACTTCAAAGGAAAACCCCATTCACTTTAAAAGACCCACACCCCATTGGGTTCATTGGAGTAGTTGCACAGTTATTTGGATGAAGGCCTCTACAGACGACACCCCTGTTTATAGACATTTTCTCAGCTTTGTCAAAAGACGGCTAAAAACAGACCTGTTTCATATGCTAAAAGAGACACTCTTCCCAAATAAATGTCAGAGGGCACACCTAACATATAAATCTCTGTACTTAAACCCCAGCCTTAAGAAATGCATACAATTTAATTATTGGGTCTTGGTCTACAGATAATAATGAAAAAGATGTATCAATGGCCCAGTCTAATTTTTAAGAGCAAGCAACATTCCAGGCTTTGAAGAGACCTGAATGTTGAACCAAACATGTAGGAACCGATTTACTGCTTTGCTTTTTGCCAACCCTTAAGTTATTCACTTGGCAGCTGACTTCATTGATTAGTTCTAATTTATCAAGTGTGAAATTGTTAATTGGGCATTGCTTCTTTCCTTTGAGCAATGAACTGCAGAGTTTCGCTCTGCCACATCATCTTAGAAAATTTTGATACATTACCAGTAGGAAAGATGGTGGTGGGGGGAATGTGCAAATTTACATTTGGTCTGAAGAAATCCTATTTAAGAACAGATTGCAAAGAATACTGTAGCATTCTTAAGATTATATGGTCACTTGAAACTAGTGTCATTTTTGTGCCACAACTCTTCATGAACACCTCCATCATTCACTTAGAATGACAATGGTGCCCATCTGAGAGGTGCCGGAATTGAGTTCCAGCAAGTTCCAGCTGAACCCCCCCCTGCTTGCAACCATTCTAAGTGCAAGAAAAAGCAATACAAATTACGATAAATGGAGTTACATGACAATATGGACTATGCAGGAAGGCCTCCAAGGCCACCAAGTTCTGTCCCTACAATCTCTCAACATTTGATTGCTTCAACATGCCTAAATGTCGTTTCTTCCACAGATAGCACTTTCCCGTGTATAAGAAAAACCAACGCAGCCCAAAGCTCTTACATAAAGAAGTACCATGCTGACGAATTTTCCTGTTTGCACATGTATCTAGAAGCAGGTTTTCAGTGACAGACTGGAGAAATCTTAACTCCGAGGGATTTGAGCATCAAATCCTAATAATAAACAGCAAACTATACAATCTTCATGCAGTACAGGAAAAACAATATACGCCTAGATAAAGATTGAAAGAGTTTGTCCAAATGTTTCCACTTTTTTGCTAGAAAGCATACTAGCAAAAACAGATAACAAGGGATTGCTCGTTATATAGAGTGGCTTTCAACTATGGTAAGTCATACTTGAACTAGACCCTTGACTAACACGTCCATTGATTACAATGTGCAGCGAGCCCTCTCCCAGTAGTATCTGGCTCTCTGTTTTGGATATTAAACATCGAAATAAATGGATTTAATTATATTTAGAGTAGATGGGTGGTTTTGTTCCTGGGCAATCCCATGATCGTTTGCTCAGAAGTAAACTCGGTCATTGGATTTACTCCCTAGCAAGTTAATACAGAATTGTAACAGAAGTCTTCCTCTCCCCTTCACCAGTCTTCACTTCCGATTTACAATGCAGGAATAACCAAAGCACAGAGAATTACCAGCATCGCCAGCACAAGAACTTGAAAAGTAACATTGGGTTTGAAAACAATTCTCTTAAAATCCATTCTTACCGTTAAAATGAACAGCACAGCAGCTGCTCTGTAAGTTAGCCAATCCATTGCATCTGTTGTCTCTTAGGTCCAAGAAAGGGACGATAACACTCCAGGTGGCTGTGCCCTTCCCCCCCACCCCTTGTGACAGTGCCTGTAAAAAGACACTGCGTAGATGTTCTTTCACCCAGGCTTTGGAGGAGTCTCTGACTTCCTCAGATCAGAGCACTGAAGATGCTGCTTAACCAAGTGTGTTCCTCCACCCAAAACCTTTGGGCAGGTCTTGAAATGCTTGACAACATCATTATTGCTCCAGGGGGAAAGCCAAAGACACACCTTGATACTTTTTGCGATGAAACACTTTGCTGGGCACCAAACAGAGCATTATAGAGAGAGACAAGACAGGCTGTACTGGGGAACTACTGAATGAAAGTCAGAATTACCCACTACCACTACACAAAAAGCTGCACTTGTAAATTTTGGGCAGGTCCACACAACGGCAGGATCCCAAGTTTCACAAACCAATTTGATATTGCTGCTCTAAGTCCTAGGAGCCCACTTCCTGTGGGCATTTGGCATATTTCCACCTCCCTCCAATAATATTCTTATATGGGTTCCTCCAGCCATTCCTAAATGATGGAACTCTGGAGAAGCAGAGGGAAAGAACAACACAAACTTTGGATTTGTCCCCTTTCCTTGACATCATATAGATCTTTCTGGTGCCAGCTTAACTGAAGAGAATGCCAATAGCAGTCTTCTGCTTACTTCCAGTTTTGAGAAGCAATGTGAATTAAAGTTGCCATATAAATAAAGCAAAGTTTAAAAATAATAACCCCCCGTGTTCTCATAGTAGCTCCCCCGCCTTCAGATTTCCCCATTCATTTTAATGCCTGAGGACTCAATATACAAAGCTGATCCTCCATTGAAGTCCTTGGAGTTATGTAAGCATCGTAGGCCCGGTGCTCACAGTATATAGCTCATTGGGAATAAATGTGTCTATTTTGTTTCTTATTGTATTTCTTATCTAGTTCCCTAGATCAGCTTGATATTCTTTGAAAAGAACAGTGTTTTTAAAATGTATTGAAAAGCTTATTTGGTTGAGTAATCTCACACACAACAAACAGGTGTGACAAGCAGAAGTCTATCCTTGACCAGTTAAACAGGGAGCAATGCAACAACTTTACTGTCTTACTGATGATTTTGGAGGCATGTGGCATAACTCAGTTTGGACAGCTTGTGGACGACCACAAAAGTGATGGAGACTGACTGAAGGCTTTCACTCTTCCTAGTATTCTTCTTGGGACAGATTTTTACTCTGGACTCTTCCATTTTTAAAAAAAGAAGGGTATGGCTCCAAAAGTCACAGCAGAATCAGTAGTGTGTGAGAAGATCTGATGTCATGCCCTGTCACTTCTCTGTATCAGCAATCTTGCAGCTGCATTCATCCTGAGGACTGTGTTACCTCTTGGGCAAGCTTTTGGGGCCGACATGCCAGTTACGGGCAGGGCCAGAGGCGAAAGAGGGCAGAACAATGGATGTGACTCTTGCATCATAGCACCACAGTAGGTTATTGACAAGCTAAATATTTCTATGTTGGCTACATCTCTTCATCCTCCATGCAGGCCCTAATTGGAGCAGAAGCGATTTTTGGCCCAAACTGCTGTGAAACTGAAGTTGTGGGTGTGGCTTTGTGTTCAGGAGCACTGACCTGTAATGGATCAAGCCAGCCTCTTGCTGCATTGTGTAGAATTCCCATTTGCTTTATTTGGCTATGGTGCCACTTCAAAGAGTCATGGCTTCCCACAAATAATACCCAAGGAATTCTGGAAATCATAGCTCTGTGAGAGGAATAAGGGTTTCCTAGCAACACTCAGCATGTTTAACAAACTACAGCACCTATAATTATTTGGGGATAGCCATGACTATTTAAAGTGGTGTCGTAGTGAGATAAAATGCATGGTGTGATGGTGGCCCCATTCTCACCAGGATTGCAGTGGTGAATAGCAAAGAATAGAGGACATACTTGAATGAGAATCTGGGCATGAGGCAGCCATGGATAAAGTCCTTGGCATAAAGTGGGTGAAGAATCTTACCTTCTGAGAATCCTTCCTTCTGGGAGCCACAAGCCTGGGCGCCCACCTATCAAGAATATCCAACACTGTCAGAGGGACTTTCGGGGACCTTTGCCACTATATGATTCCACAAAACTAAGCTGAACAAACAATATTCTCCCACTCAAAGGCAGAAGCGCACGAGTGCAGAAAATTCCCCAGGACTGACAAATAGGCAGCCAAGTCTTACCAAATGCACAAGATACCAAAAAACTGACAAAAAAGCCATTTCTGCTTTTAATTTTACTGAGGACAAACATCTGACACTGGGTTGGTTGTTAACACACCCTATAAACATATTTTTATATTTGGAAGAAAATGGTACGAACCCAGGGTATTATATCCAGGGAAGGTATTGTATGTTTCAAAAGCAAGGGTTTATAATTCAGTTGTTGGTTCGCATCCGTCTGTCTTGGGAGACAAAATCATCTACCACCTCAAGCGTGTGGTCACCAATGCTGAAGCGTGGAGTGCTGGTGTCATCCTGACCCAGAACGACACCAGGATCCTCCAAGTTTTCAAACCTCACCCATATAACAGATTGGATCTCAAAAATACTTTATTACAATTGGAGTCCAAGTGGATTTTCCACTTGGAAACTGTCATTCCAAAGGGCTTAAATTTTAACTTAGAATTGAGTTGTTTTTAAATTAATCATTCCTATTGATGGAGAAGATTGTAACTGGAGTCATGGCCCCTTTAAGCAGAACACACAGCTGTGTCTGCATCAGCCCTTACAGAATGAGCAGAGTGCCTTTTCAATTTTATGGAGCTGACTTTTCTATTTGAGCATATGTTTTGCTGTCATATGTAAGTGTAATTCCTTGAATAATTTTCAAATGTAAATTTATTATATTGTATGAAGGTTTTTATCAGCATGTTATATATAATTCAGCATTCCATTGCAGGCCAACTGGAAGAAGATATTCAAAACAAAGATTTGCATCCAGTGATCTCATCATCAGAGTCCTGCTTAGGATTTCATGCAACTGGGGCACGGCCACTGCGACTTGAGTGACTGAGAGCAAAGCTACAACACTCCCACGACAGCTTTTTCCTGGTCTGTTGATTATCCTTTAACAACAAATATACAGTCATACCTCAGGTTGAAGTAGCTTCAGGTTGAGCATTTTTGGGTTGCGCCCCGTGGAGACCCGGAAGTAACGGAGCGCGTTACTTCCGGGATTTGCCACTTGCACATGCACAGACGCTCAACATGACGTCACACACATGTGTGGAAGCGGCAAATCATGACCCGCGCATGCGCAGACACTGGTTGCGTTCGCTTCAGGATGTGAACGGGGCTCCAGAATGGATCCCGTTTGCATCCAGAGGTACCACTGTACTTGTAGAGATACTTTTCTCTTTTTTGAATGAAGGAATATTTGGATGGAACTTTGGATTTGAGATATCCTGTATTGCACTTGGATATGATTTTGGTATTGCACACATTAGGTTAAAGCTATATTTAAAGAAAGGGACGCGGGTGACGCTGTGGGTTAAACCACAGAGCCTAGGACTTGCCGATCAGAAGGTCGGTGGTTTGAATCCCAGCGACGGGGTGAGCTCCCGTTGCTCGGTCCCTGCTCCTGCCAACCTAGCAGTTCGAAAGCACGTCAAAGTGCAAATAGATAAATAGGTACTGCTCCGGCGGGAAGGTAAACGGCGTTTCCATGCGCTGCTCTGGTCGCCAGAAGTGGCTTAGTCATGCTGGCCACATGACCCAGAAGCTGTACGCCGGCTCCCTCAGCCAATAAAGCGAGATGAATGCCGCAACCCCAGAGTCGGTCACAACTGGACCTAATGGTCAGGGGTCCCTTTACCCTTTACCTTTATATTTAAAGAAACAGACACTTGGTGGAATAAAAATGTCATATGTATATTTGATGTTTGGAAAGTTCTATATAATTGCATAGAGAGTTGTGTGAGCTGAATTTAGTAGGCTTCATTTCCTCAGAATATGGAACTACACCTGCAAATTGCAAATTTCATCCACTTCTGTCAACGTTTGTGTGTGTGTGTATAGCCATTTGAACCTTTTCCCATATAAACCAATGCAAATATGTAAGAAGCCTTGACTGTTCAGATGTGAGATTCTGATTAAGACAAAGCAAGTGTCTTCTGCAGTGGTCCTAGCCAAATCAACCCATGTTCTGAAGCGTCAAAGCAGAATCCAAACTGAGTCATGTCTTCAGTGTATACCCCTAGTTAAAATTTGTGTTGATGAAAGTAACCTATACATCTCAAAGTAGCTTGGTTCCTATCACAGTCCTTATATCTTATTGCAACTTTTGAGATCATCTAGTATCCTCCTGACTCTATTTTGCCAATCTAAATAGGAAAGAAAGCAAGAGAAATCCTATGGAGCCACTGCAAGACCAGATGTTGTTTGGCTTCACCTTCTATCAGCCCAAGCTAGCATGCCCAGTGGTTCGTAATAATGGCAGTTAGAGTCCAGAAACCCCTGGAGGGCCAGAGGTTAGCCAGGCTTCCTCAAACTCGGCCCTCCAGATGTTTTGAGATTACAATTCCCATTATCCCTGACCACTGGTTCTGCTAGCTAGGGATCATGGGAGTAGTAGGCTAAAAACATCTGGAGGGCCGAGTTTGAGGAAGCCTGCTGTAGACAGTGCTGAGTTAGCAGGACCAAAAGTCTGGCTTGATGTTACGCAGCTTCCTATGTTCTTTCCTAATCATTTCTGATTTATCCAACGAATCTTCCATTCTCTTTAATTCACTATCTCATCCAGTTTCCAGTGCTTGGTTCCTCAGTATCTTACCAGTCTTTAAAATATCCTTCTTCAGTTATTTCCCCCTCTTTACACATGTAGGCCTTTTTAATGCAACTCTATGTGTTAGGCCAGGCAACACTCATTCCCAAACCATCCAAATATTTCTTGAGTGTTCATCGGTTGAATTCCTCTAGTGCAGGTATAGTTAACCTGTATTTGATGGGCCAATGATCAGGG